GAATCCCTTTATGATTCCAAGTTTCAAAAAACAACTTTGGCTCATTCTTTTTTCCCTTCTTTTGTTTCTCGTCTTACTCTGGAATAGCAGGGCTTACTGGCGAGTTGTCGTCTTTCTTTCCACCCCAGCCCCAGCCAGAGATCCAGCTAGCCCGCTTGTTGGCGTTGTTATCCTTGACGGCATCTGGGTTCTCCTGGACCAGTCTCAGCGGGCGTGGCTTGCCGCCGCTAAAGGTCTTTTGCTTGTCGGAGTGGGATCGCGGTGGCGATTGTGAAGGGGGCGTTGAGATCTCGCCAGACTCGCCGCTCAGGCTTGATGTCTCGCTTCTCTCGCCTCTCGTGCCTGGGAAGTTTCCGGATGAAGGAGCCTGGCTACCGCTAGGAATCCGACCCGGAGTCCCAATCACGCCGGCGGTTGGGAAGAAAGCGTGCGAGTGTCGCTGGTTGAGCGGCGGTGAGGCAGGGCTATCCGGACCTCTGTACATCTGGCTAACGAGAGATGCAGCTCCTGGGAACTGATCGCTCACAGGTCGCGAACGTCTGTTTATTCGGCCAAGACCAATGGGAATGCTGGGTGCCTTATCGGGGTCGGTGTGGTCCGCGATTGGAGTACCATCAGAGTTTTGTATGATTGAGAATGGTCGCGGTCGTGTTCTCCCCGCCATGATGGGCGCAGTTCTAGTTCGCTGCAGGATGGGCTGCCCATTAAGCTGGTTGCTGAACCTCGGGCTGGTAGGGCTAGTAGGGCTGGTAGGGCTGGTAGGGCTGTTGAGCTGCGTGTTGATCTGCGGCTTCTCAATAGGCGGAGGTGGTGGAAGGTCTTTGTCCTTCTCGGGCAAGGGGGGTTTCATGTCTGCTGATTGATCCAGGATTGTCTCAAAGTCCTGATGCTGAAGCAGGCGTTCGATGATCTTGTTGATGTATAGCGTGAGGGCCTTGTTCTTCTCCTTGAGAGCCTTGAGCTCGCTCTCGAGGCGGCGGTGGTCAACGGTAGGCTCGCCCTCGGACTGTGTCGCGTCCGAAAGCTCATCAGCGAGGCTAGAGCCGCCTGTCTTACCCTCCAGGGCATCTAATGCCTCATGGTTCACGGTTGGGCTCATGTAGCTAAAGTCGCTCTGGCCAAAGTCTCCCTTGAGAGTCTTCTCCTGAAGAAGCAGTTGATAGCTCTCGTTGTCCTCCATAAGGCGCGCGTTGGACATGCGGGCCTCCATCAACTGACGCTCAACCTCTTGCAGTCTGCCTCCGCCCTGGTTCTCAGTTTCGACCAGCTTGATCTGGGCTTCCGCGAGCTCCAGGCGCAGCGACTCAATAAGCTTGTCCTTCTGAAGGATCAGCTTGGAGCTATTTCGCGAATCGCTTCGCTGGAGGGAGGACGGGGGAGCGAAGCCGCTGCCATCAAGCGAGGGCGAAGCGCTGGCTGCTGTAGACATTTCAGAATTAGCGTGAGATCCAACGACTGATATCGACCAGGAGCGTTGCTTACATTGCCTCGATGGTCTCGGGTCGTCCTCGAGACTCAGTTTCTGGGCTAGGGTCTCCTTTAATCGTGCAATCACCATCTGCATCTCCTCTTCTTTCGTTGCCATTTCCTCCTTTTCCTTGAGAATGGCGCTCCGCTCAGCCTCGTAGATTGTCTCCATCTCTCGAATCTTGCGGCCGGCTTCTCTCTTTTCGTTTCGTAGTGTCTCGATCAGCTCATCGTGCTCATGGACCTTTTCCTCGAGCTTGGCCGACTCCTTGACCGCATCGTCCAGCTTGGACTGCAGAACCTCGGCCTGTCGCCTGTATTGCTCCGACTGCTTCTCCTCCTTTTCCAGGCGCTGCTGGAGATCCTCCAGCGCGGCGGCAGCGGCCGCCCGGGCGTCGGAATCTGTGTTGCTCATGGCCGTGTCTCGTCGGGCAACAGCCGCGCGGGCAGAGACAGGATGGACGGATCTCGTCCTGACGTGTTGTCCGGTGGGAGTGGCCGAGCGCACGGATTGGGCTCGCGTATGGGTTGGCTTTGGAGGCGAAGTGCCTATGTCTGAACTCGCTCGGCCGACTGCGATAACCGGCGGTTTGTTTGCAACCGTAGACATGTCGAGGAGGGGAGGATGCAAGCAAGACGTCCTTCCGTCGAGGTCGGTGAGCTACTGTTGGTGAAACGCGCAAACGGGGCCGTCTGGCGCAGCGCCAAACAAGTTCGTCTATGGGATATTATAATTATGCTGCGAGAATGGCCAGTGGTGAAGAGGAGAACTGCAGGCGTTTAGGAGGGATAACAGGCCACGAGGGTTTGGTCTGTTTGGTTGGGCTCCACCTCGAATGTGTCGGTGGGCAATTTAAAGGCAGAGTTTCACGAAAAAAGGTACCTCCGCCAAGGGTTCGCCGCCGCGTGTGTGCGAGGTACCCGTACTGCAGGAGTACATTTTCGTACAGTACCACAGTCCAGCCACTCGGGGGGTGAGGAGGGACGGATGCGGTGACGAAAGCGGGCACAGCAGGACCCTTTTGTTACGGATTAATCCTCCGTGGTTGCAGCTTTTTGCTCCTGTTTTCGCTCTTTTCTTGTTCCTTTTTTCTTCTTTTCCGTCATTCACAAGGGAGAAAGTCTTCCCTGCCAAATTACGGGAGCAGCTCTTCATGCCTCTTCTTAAACAGTGCATGACTTTGATCACAGCGCCCTGCATCTCTTCCATGCCAGGACGGGTGCCTGATTGGGTCAACGATGTGCTGGAGGGAAAATCACGGGCCACTAAAGGCCCCTAGACACGCTCCACCCCCACTGCTGGACGCTGCTAGAATCTCTCCAAGTCTCCCCTCTTCTCCTGCTCGGCTCCTCTGCGGACGCAACGCAACGTCTCGCCTCCGCCGATGCGCTGTGCTTCTGTGCGCTGGTTTCACTGACCGCTTCTCTGCGCTGGACTGGAGACAAACAGCGCAATTCATCCTTTTCTGGAAAAACAGAAAGACGCCCCTTGGCCAGAGCTGGCTGCTTAGTCATTCAGATCATTGCTTAAAACGATGAAACAAACGGTATTAGCATGAGTCAATGCATCTGTTCCTGTTTGCGGGTTGTTCTTTGAGACATTGAACAACCAAAGCGTTTTGACACAGTGAGGCGCAACTGAATGCAGTCACTGCAAAGTACCGGCTACAAGTGCGAGTACATCGAGGCCTGAGAAAGGCTGTGGTTGCTATAATTAAAATCAGGGCTTCGCTGAGGACTGGCTCAGCCTTTCCGTGGCGAAAGTCATGTGCTAGCCACGGCGTACCTGAAAGCGTGTGCCACCTGTCTCGTGAAGATGACAACGGCTGTGTGTCTCCCCGCAAACTCGGGCTGTGAGAGTTTTGACTAATCGTCATCGCTCGTCTTTGAACTCTGTTTCTATTTTTGAGTGCCAATAACGAAGCCGTGCTGTTCTCTCAAGTCCAAGTAAAGTGGACGGAAGTTCTGTAGATTTCATGAGCCACAATATGTAGGTACCTCCTACTGTATACACACGCAACTGAGGCTGCACTATGAAGCGGTGGATCTGGCATATGCCTCAGCAGCATTCGATTGGCATCCCATCACTCATGCAACCCCCTTTCTTAACTGGTTCGCATCTGCATTCTTACTCAAAGCCAGCCAATGGGATTTGTTACCAGTTTCCACGAAGCCTAGCAACCGGGCAACACACATGTTTCATACCGCCAGTTTGACATGGTCGAGAAATATGCAGGTAGATGGTGAGTTGCAAGTAAACAGATTCCGTGCGTCATCCGGTATGGTAATCGCAGGGGCATTCGGCATACACGGAGTCACTCTGGGAAATGGCATGCAGGTTTTTAATTCAGCTTGACAGGGGGAACAGTCTTCATGGCTGTATTATTCCATTGAGATAACTATCACTTGGAAATTTCTGGGGCTTTTTTCATCCCCAAAGGATTTGCCTTCCTAGTAGATGATGTCTCGCATCAAAAGTTTTCGTCTCGCACATAATGTGAAAGTGTATGGTATCCATATTGCCCTTGAACCGTTTTACCCCCAACGCCGTTTTAAATGCACTGAATTTGGGCTATTTAAGCCTGCTGGTCGCTGAGGATATCAGAGTCACCAGCATCCAGGATGGCAAGGGTGGAGCATCGGAAGAGCTTTCCGCAGGCAGTGCCGAGCTCAATCTGTATTACGAATAATGTAAGCCAATGTGAACCCTCCAAAGTCTGAAAGACTTCTTCTCTGGGCAATTCCGCAGGAATTGGTAATTCTCGGGTAGCAAGAGTAGCTTCTGAAAGAAGCGAGAAGTGGATTGGCGCAAGTATATACCCGTTTCCAGGTCTTCACTTGTCCAGGGCGTCTGAGGTTGCAAAACTTACGTTGTTACCAGCGAAGTGGTGGATGGGAGCCTTGGACAGCATGCTGTAGTATTCGAGTTCACTCTTTCTCAGGGGAGGAGTGTTGCCAGCAATGATGATCAGCTTGGCCTTGCCGGATCGCAGAGACTTGAGAGTAGACTTGTAGCCGAGAGTGACTGGCAAAATCATGTTAGGATTTTTGCAAAATATCGCAGGATATCAATCCTCGAGGAGCCAGCAACATACCCTTTCCGGACTTCATAACAAGTGCCAACTTGGAGTTGATGCTGTTGGCATCCTTCTTGCTCTTCTTCTGGGGGGCCATTTTGACTGATTTTGGGCGCGAGCTGCGATCTTTGGACTGGATTGATGCGGTTGCTGAAGACACTCTGAGCTCTGAAAAAGTTCGTGGAATTTAGTTTTCTTTTGGGATGCACGCACCAATTTAGGCGGGGCCAGGGCTATGGAGAGCCTAGCCAATGAGCGCAGACTTGCCGTTTTGGTAAGCCCTAAAGCTCCGGCGTTTAAGCGGATCACAGCGGAGATGAGTCAAAGAATCCTTGGATGCTTTGAAATCAACCCAGCTGTTTTTCTGAAGTGGCGCCGGGACTCCTTGAGTTGGAATTATCTTCCCCCAAACATCATCAAACAACCTCAAGTACCGTTCAGCGAAACACCGACAAAATGGCTCGCCGTCCTGCTCGTTGCTACCGATACTGCAAGAACAAGGTGAGTTTTGCTGCAATATGGCGTTCTCGTCGATGGAGGAATTTTTCTTTTATTTTTTCGAAGCTTGGAGATAAAATATCTGTGGAGTGACGCAAGAGGTGGATTATAAATTACCAAAAAATGAGGCATCCTGGGATGGATTTTCTGTCACTGGTCTTGCAACACTTGGAGCTTTTCAGAGATGCTTTATTTGTTCATCATACTCTGGACTTGACTGACATTCTTTCCCTTCCTAGCCGTATCCCAAGTCTCGGTTCAACCGTGGTGTCCCCGACCCCAAGATCCGCATCTTCGATCTGGGCCGAAAGCGCGCCAACGTCGACGACTTCCCTCTCTGCATCCACCTCGTCTCCAACGAGTATGAGCAGCTGAGTTCCGAGGCCCTCGAGGCCGCCCGTATTTGCGCCAACAAGTACCTCGTCAAGCACACCGGTAAGGAGGGTTTCCACCTCCGTGTCCGCGCCCACCCCTTCCACGTCGTCCGTATCAACAAGATGTTGTCTTGCGCTGGTGCCGATAGACTGCAGACTGGTATGCGTGGTGCCTGGGGCAAGCCCAACGGCACTGTTGCCCGTGTCAACATTGGTCAGATCATCATGAGCGTCCGCACTCGTGACTCTAGTATGTGACATGCTTTCTTTCTTTCTTGATTCCTACGGTATGGCAAGATCAAGGTGTATTAACAATCACTCTTTAGACCGTGCTCTGGCTCTTGAGGCTCTCCGACGATCCCAGTACAAGTTCCCCGGCCGACAGAAGATCATCATCTCCAAGAACTGGGGTTTCACTCCTCTCCGCCGCGAGGACTACCTCGAGCGCAAGGCTGCCGGCCGTGTCAAGGTCGACGGTGCTTACGTTCAGTTCCTCAGCAACCACGGTTCCATTGAGCAGAACATTCGTCGTTTCCCCGACGCTTTCTCGTCCGAGGCGTAAATAGTTCTCCTTAATGTGGCTTCTGGGTTTTAGGTTGGCGTAATTATGGCATGTCAGATAAGAGATTTCTCGATTTGAGAATCATCAGTTAGGCAAATCAAACCATTGTGCGTTCAGCACTAGACATGCTATGTTCTATTTTACATCTGGACCTGTTGCGATGAATAATACGTCGGAATCTGGATTCTGTCCAACTAACAGGTGAAACGAAACGTGTTCACCCCTGAAATAGCAGCTACACGGCTTCGTTCCCAGTCACCATCACCTTGTGTTTCCATAATGACCCACCCGTATCTTGGAGATTCCAATGATACTCGTATCACAGCCCTGTTCTGTGGAATTCACTCGGCGTCGTCGGCTGGAAAGTTTTGATATCACATATCAATGATGATTTGTAACGGCAGGATACAGTCAGCAGAATTTACAGTGCAGAGCCAAGCTTACATATAGCATCAGCCACCGTGGTAATAATTGCCGTTCTAATCCAGGAACAGGTAGCTTTGCTCATCTCATCCGAGAGCCGGTGAGAGGTTCTATGACGAGACCACCTGACTTGCGTCAGTGACACAATGGTCACAGACGATGATGTATGGGCGCTGATTGCCATACTGTTGCTTAAAACGGCGCTAGGTTAGATACATGATCGGTTTTGTTGGGGCTGCATCTTGGAATCAAGACAGTTGGTTGGACAAGAATTACACGCATCCTGTTGAGACTGATGGGCGGGCAGCACAATAATAAGGATGGCACACAGGTGACGGGGCTGGTGGGGGGGAGGCGATGCGTATCCATGCCATCGTACTATCAGACGCAGGGTCCTTTTTTTCCCTTCCGTGCTCTTCGACTCTTGTCGCAAAATGCATCACAAAAGGGCTCCAGAAGTCGGAGAGAACCGCTTGCTGAGACGATTACTGCATCTCCGCCGAAGCGCCGCCAGCGCCGAAGTATGCACGAGCGAGTCGTGGGCTGCGCGCTTTTGATGGCGCCATGGAGTCAACGACACGGGAACTGTAGTGGTGGCGGGCACGCATCAGCATCCTTGCGGATCAATGGTAATAATAGTGAGTACCTAGGTTGAGATATGGCTACTGCTACGAAACAATGTGGAAGAAGAAAAAAAAAAACCCCTTTTTCCTTTTTGTCCTTCTTTCTCACCCTCAGCCGCCCTTTTTGGTTTTTCTCCGGGCCGTGGTTCGCATCTAGATTGCATGCATCAAGCATAATCAGCCCCAAAGTGCTTTTAACCGTGATGGGGGGTTGCAGCACTGAGGGATGGCGGGCCCAGTAGTGAGGCGTAAATGTGACGCAAAAACAGTGAGTCTCGCCGTAATATCTTATCTAGAGATTTGCAAGGTGAGCGCGCCAACCGAAGTGTAAGTACGGGCTAGTACCAGCGATGTCTCCCTCCATGGCATCCTAGCGGCCAAATGGTGCCGTCGTCTGCGTCGTCTGTGCCGCAAGCACGAATACTGAGCGGCACAGTTCAAGCCCACTACCTGCCAGTACCTCCAGATCACCATTGATGTTATAGCGCCTCCCCTAACCCAGTAGCGCTAAGAGGCTAGCGGGCCAGCTCACTGAAGCCCGCGTCGACGGCGCTGTCTCGGAACCTCTGTCGGGCGTGGGAGAGTCAACGGCACAGGTGGCTGACACTGGCCTGACCACTGTTCAAAGGCCAACCAGCACGCGAGCACAGCACACCCCCACCCTGGCCGATCAGGCCGTCCTCCAGTCCCAGGTGGCCTGCACTGCTGTGGTGATGACGCTCGAGCTGATAAAAACAAAGGCCCAGCCTCCTCTCCTTTTCCGCTTCTCTCGTGCGTGTAGCCTTTTCACTTGCTCGCCCCAACCCCAGTCCATTGGCGACTGGTTCGATCTGCTCCCTCATCCCTACCTAGGCCCTATCATCTTCTCCTCTTAAGCGCTCCACTGGCTCGGCGTCGCCAGACGGGTGCTGGGGCTCCTCCTTCACCGATCAACTTGTGTCCCCGTTTCGCCTTATCGCGACCCTTCCCCGATACCTAATTACAGGATAACCGACGCTCGCAACCCACACCGAGCATTTTTCTCTTTTCCTTTCCTACAGGTCCCGCAACCATGGCTTTTCAGCAGCAGCCAAACCGCCCGAGTGTGCAGCGAGCAGCTCGCTCCGCTGTTGGCAGCCAGGGCCTTTCGAGGCGATCGGCGCGCAGCACCTATGACCAAGAACCAGAGGAAGCGCAGACCTGGGTGCTCTTCTCGCCTCCCACCGATGTGACCACCACGTCCTACCTCACCGAAGATGAACATGACCAATCGCTCGAGACCCCCGGCCGGTCACGAGTAAGTGACCTCGGCAGCCTCAATACAGTTGCGAGGACCGGTTCGGTGGCGGCAGCGGCTCAGAATGATGAAGCTCAGTCATCGGCTCTCTCTGCGGCTGTTGATGAGTCTCAGGATGATGCCGAGTTGGATAGTCTCGATGGCCATCTTCCTGGATTTAGATCGTTCCCGAGGAGTAGTTTTATGATGCCCGTCCTCCCAGCCCACGATGGCCTGGGATCATTCCACTTAGACCAGCCTACTCTTGGCCAAGACGCGCAGGACCACATATTCCAGTTCGAGAGATTTAACCCTAGGCGAGTACGAAGAAGACTAAATAGCTTCGATGAAGCCCAGTTCGAATTGGAACAGGCACAAGTCCAGGAGGCCGAGAAGAGGCAGCGGATTGAAGCCTGGCGGTTGGAGCATAGCCGCATCATCCTCGAAGAGGTCCAGCGCGAGGCACGGCGGACGAGGATGCTGCAGCAGAAGCGGGTTGTTACACAAAAGCCCGTGCCCAAGGCGGAGGAAGCTACCGATTCGGAGGACATGACTTGGCACGAGGAAGATCCCGACACCCACCCAGAAGATAAAGAAGACAGCGAAGGTCTGATTACGAGAATTACTCGCAAAGTACTGCGCGATATACTCGGCATAGATGAGAAGATACTATCAGTGGTACTTGGTGGCGACCTTTTAAGCGACGAGGAGCTATCGAGGACGCCGCGGCCGTCAGAGCATGGCCACGATGAACCGACCGCGGAAACAGAGGAATCATGGCATATGCGCATCATAGAGACAGTGTCGAGAGAGCTCGGCTTGCTGGTCAACCATCTCTCAAAGCACCCTGGCGCCTTTTCGACATATTCGCATGTCCATCAGGTACCTCTGCCTTATGCCGGTTTGCCTGCCATACCAGAGACGGCAGACGGCCGCACCTCTGCCTCTGGGCGTGCCGCGGCAGACAAGCATGGTGAGAGCGTGTTCCCTGAGTTCAGGCCTACCATGAGGCATATCCCACGAGCGGCCGACAGGCCATCGCAGAGGTCAAATGCGCAAGACATTCTATTACACGATGTGTCGATGGCGGATACATTTACCCAAGAGGAGTGGGAGCAAGAGATTGATATCAAGCTGGTGTTCCGATACTTGGTATCACGCTTCACATCGCAACCCGAGCCCACGTTGTCTCCCGAGTTGACGACCCGTCCGGTTCCTGCGAAGCCGCAAGACGCTGCCGCTAAGGCTGCCAGAGTAAGGCAGCACCACCCCCTCACCTCCCGGACTCGCCCTAATGAACGTCGAGCTTTCAAAGCAACTGCACCTAGCAGCCCCGTGGCTATGCGACACCACAGTAGCTGTGCCAGCCAGAGCACACGACGATCAGCCAGGAGAAGCAGCGTCTCATCGAGACACTACTGGGACATTGGAGGATCCATCGGAACCGGATCAATGATTGCCACTGCCCCCAACGCCCCAATGGGCAGCTGGGGCGAAGTTTAAAAAGAAGCGATGCGCTGTTTATACATGGTTTTACTCGATACATTCACATATTCTTTCACTTTTTTCTGGCATGGCTTACAGCAGCATTATTAGGCGAGCATTGATTTGTTTACTTCCATTCAAGAGCAAGGCATAATGGATTTTGTTGGCGCGAGACGAGTGATGTTAATGATGGGACATGCTGGGAAGCGGCGTTTTTTTTCATTATTTTTCCTTTTTCTTACATGGCTTGGTTATAGACATATTTTGGACAAATCCATACTCAAGATGAGACGACGAACCTTTCTTTACAAGGGGACGCTCTCAACCCTCTCCCAAAAGGGGGGATTTCGAATATAATCACTTTATTGACTTACGACGTGGCATTCCATGCATCTGATATGCGGCTGAGAGGAAGAAGAGGGGTCTGTATGGCGCGGAAGGACTGAGTAAACGGCAGTTAGTGGCTCGATGGCATGTCGTGTCCATGCAGGGCGGGAAGGGGGCCCACCGGATCGAACCCGTGATGACGATGATGATGACGAGACGAGGCTATGTTGTTATATTGTTTTCTCACTGTATATGGAGTCATTATTAAGCTATATTCATTAATGTTGATTGCAGAATCATGAATGACTGATAAAATGCATATACTACTATTTGATGAGGTCGTGTGGAATTGCAATGGATGATTGATGATGGCACGGGGCCCACGAGAGAAAGATTGGGTGGTGGGGCAGCCTGGCGAGAGCTGGGGGGGCTTTTGTTGGTTGGATGCCGTCGATGTGGGAAAGCCAGCATTTTGAAGTTGAAGACATAATCAAATATGAAGATGGAGAGTAGAAGGTCTACCATTACATCAAATTTGTATTCATTGAGGATTTGAATGGATGATGCCAAGGACTTGATGGCTACATATATGTTCAATTTCTGTTTTGATTGATTCCGGTGAGACAGCGCCACGCCGTAAAGTACAACTGCTAAATAGGCACTTTGACATTAGTGCAAAAAAGGCACGGGCCATGCCGACGAGACACGGTGCCCCATTGTATTCGCTCGATGCCATTGGGGGGGATTGCTTTCCATTGTGGGCTGGGCTTTTGGACCGGCGTGTTTAAGCACTGGTCGCGTTTCAAGGGAGATGGGAGATGGGATTTTGGGGAGAAGCAACATCACCGCGTAAAGTGGTCGGTTTTTGTTGGCGGGGTGGGAAGGGAGGATGGATGGATGTTTTTGGGTTTGGTGAAGATGTTTTTGTTATTGCGGCTTTGATTTATTTGTTTGTTTATGTTATTGTGCTATTGTGTTTGGGGGAAGGCAGATTGGGTGTGTTGAAGGAGTTTACCTCTCTGTTGTTCATATCACCGCTACAGGTATGTAATTTGTGTAGAGTAGATGACTGTGACAGTTGAGGCTTTCTTGTAAGATGAATATGTAGCGAATAACACCAGCGATTACGGGCCCTTGTGTGTACAAGGTGACATTGGGCATCAAGGCCCGGCAGATGCGGAACCAGGACGAATGAAAGAGTACCCCAGAGGAACCAGCGTCGGACAAGATGATGGCTGCATTATCCCTGTCTGGCACTCTCCAGTCATGGTCTCCCCAAGGTCACCAACGAACGGGCATCTCGCAGCCATCAGGTGCAGCGCTTTTGCACCTATAAGATTCGATACCGTCTGGGCGAAGTTGTAAGAGCTAGATTTCGATTGCAAGCAGCCACTCAAGAGACGACCATCTGATGCGCCTTAAAAGCGCCCATCTGTTTCTTCCCAGGCTGCCATTCCGCAATGTGAGGCAACCACTCGCTATCTAGGACTCCGTAATAGCTGCAGCTTTAGCCGTGCCTGTCTCGTTCTAGCGGGCAGAAAGGCGCGTTCGAGGGAGCCGAAATGTGGAGAGCCAGACCCAAAGCTCCCACCTTTTCGATGCATCCCCGTGCTTCTGCTCTCCCGCATCCCATCCTCTCTTACTTACTCTTTACTTGACATCTACCTCTACATTTTTCTTCTGCCGTCCGTCTCTGCTTCTGCTTTCTTTTCAGTCAGCAATGCTTCGCCCGCCATAGACCGGTATAAATACTCTTGCCGTCGCCCGCATTTCGCTTTTACCCGCTCCCTCGAGCCACCGTCGTGGGCATTCTATTTCCGCTGCGACCTCAACCGTCCCGACACCGACAGCTGCTCTCAACCGCGGCCTCCGCAAACTCGGCATTTCTTTTCTTCCCCTCGCTCTCCTCTGCTCGTGCCATGAACTAAGGCCGACCAAGCCTGCGACCCGTCTGGGCCTGCTCATGTGCGAGGCTCGAATCTGAGTTCCTCCGAGATTGAGCGCATCACCGCCGGCCTGTCAATTCCGCAACGAGCGAGCCCAAAGGTTCCACGACTCCTGATCCCCTTCCAACCACATTGCACCGCTTTTCACGCTAGACGCAATCACGGCTTATACCAATGGCCGCGAACCCATTCGACACACCTCAATTCGGCGCCGAATTCTTCGACCTCTATCATGAAAACGCCCCCATTGTGCGCACCGCCATTCCTCAACTCCCTAGCGGCGGGTGCAATTATGTGGACTTGACGCCCGGCGCTGGAGGAGCGCGATGCGGCTGTCGTCGCTTCTGGTCTTTCCAATCTACAGGAAGTCCCGTCGTGGAGCAGGCTGGATGGTGCATGTGCAACCATCATGCGTGTTTCCATGATGAGCGTCCTCGAGATCAGCCTCAACCTCAGCCGCTGCCACTGCCGCTACCACTGCCGGCAGAGAGAATGCCAACTCCCAACACCGGGCTCGACCTCGAGAAGCTACAGTCTAGACAACGACTGGACCCCCTAAGCCCGACCCTGGATCTCATCTCGCCCAAGGAAACAGCGGCAGTGCTTGGACCCGAACTCATCAGCTTCAATGGGGCTCCCCCGCTATCCTTTCTGCATAAATCCTTCGACGGCCCCTTCGATACTCTAGGAGCCGTTCCCACTCCCCAACAGGCGCCCAACTCAATGCCGGATACAATGGCCTGGACAAACATCATACCACCAACTCAACCAAACACCTGTAATGCGTTGCCGCCTATTCCTGCTCAGTGTCTCATGTCCCAGACGGCCTCCACAACTTCTTCCATGCACACCAGGTACCTCAGGCCCTTTGCTGGAAAGGGCTTACAGACTCTCAGCCACAATAGTCCAGCTGGAATGCTACAGCAATCCGCTGCCCAGACTGCTTTGCAAGAATCTCCCACGCAGCAGAAGACCGCGAGCGTCGAAGAGACATTCGTCTTCTTGGCCCCTGATGAGGAATCACCCTCACGGCCGGACACTGCTACTACCCAAATCGAACCCCGGGTTGCAGCCGCAGTTGAGGCCATACCTCGTGAGACGCTGAAGAACCTCGCTGACACTGTCGGTGGCCACGCACAACGACTCGATAGGCTGGAGACACTCTCCTTTTCCGGCAGCGCCCACGAAGAGTGTCAAGACAAGTACGAGCACATGGACCTTCGTGTCACTGAGCTGGAGAGCAAAGTAGAAGACATTGAGAGGCGCGTTCTTGATGACAATGCAAGTCTCCGTCACGATCGCCAGGAGGATGCTGCCAGCCCAAGTATGGTTTCGGTCAGCTCCAGTGCGGCCAACCGACCAAGTCGCTCGCAAGAAGTATACAGCCAGCTCCAGTCGCTACAAGCCCAGGTCGACCAACTTCAATCCATCATCCCTACATGGAATAACCCGTGGGAGGTCGAGGTTGTATTTCTTCCGTTTCCTCTCAAAAGGGTCTGGCAGCATATGAACCTATTCCCAACAGATCCCAATACCGAAAATGGAGACGACTGGACTCAGCTTCCCATGACGCTGAGCACATCCACACCTAGAGCCCAATCTCCGGCTATGGGCGACTGGCCCACGCATGACAATGGCAGGGAATGGCTGTTTCCTAGGGCCTGTGGTAATAAGAGCGCTGCCGACGAGCGCCTGAGGAGCCGCGGGCTGGTGAAGACCATAAAAGTAAAGGCGCCAGATGCGAGAAGCGTCAGCATGGCGATGCTAGCTGCCTTTGGAAATGTATTCCGTGATATGCAGATGTATACGAGACCTCAAAGCCCCGGCCTGAAGGCATCCAAGTTCATGGGGCTGCAATCTTCATGGGTTCCTCTGCGGAAAATCCACAAAGATTCACGGCTACGGTTCCTTAGTCCTGACGAGATGGCGACCCCGGCACTTTGGGACGTGCAGTTTCTGGCCTCCGTCATGATGAAGGCAACGGAACCTAGATTGTTCGTTACCCATCCTGATGCATACCTCCAGGACTATCAAGCATATGACTCGGCTTGGACATGGCAGAGGCTGAAAGACGTGCCACCTGCGTATCCTGACGTTACGGAGTCACAAGAAGTGCCCGAGGCGGATTCTCCTGAAGAGTGTTGGGCATGGAATGAGCTGCTTGACGATTCGCCAAACGCGCAACCCCCCACCATACAACACCGCCAGGAAAGGCACAGGGTGTCAATATCGCCCTCGGTGGAATACTTTTCTGCTAATCATTCGTACCGAGCGACCAGCCCGGCTGCGGCTGCCCGCCTCCAAAGATCGATAACAAGGAGTCGGGAGGGATCAGAGGCACCGTTTATTAGGACAACACCAACGGCAACCATCAGCTCCACAATGATCCAGAGCGGAAATCCCAGGCAGCGGCTAGCATCCCGCGGACACAGCCGGCGGTCCTCGCCAAGCGTTCATGGCGTACCTCAGGCTGGTGTCAGGAAGAGGCGCCGTGCTCGATCGCCCAGTTATCCTCGGTTCACTCCGAGGAGGACCACATCACCAATTCCTTCATCCATCAGTCATCACGATCGCCAAACTAGTCGAGGGATCACTCCCGGCCGCGGCACAACCCCTGGCCGAGGCACAACTCCAGGCAGGGGCACAACTCCTGCTCGAGGCACTACGCCAGGTGGCTATGCTACGCCTTACAGCATCGCTGCCCATGGGGAAGTCCTACTAGAACGAGGAAGCAGCGTTTTTGAATCAGCGCCCCCGTCTGACGCAGACGATGACGAAGACGATGATATTGACTTTGAGATACTCGAGAGCAGCGGCTCTGACCAATCCTTTGTCGACGAAAACGACTACGGCAACGATGGGGACGACGAGAAAACCAGCATCACCAGCGCACAGCCAGTTGCTCGGCCCCTTTCCGCCTCTCGGAATAGTTACCCCGGATGGATGCGAGAGCGAGAGCGGGACGTCGCTTGGCCTGGTCTCGAAGATCAAGAAAACGCTCACCATTCGGACGGCGAAAACGTCGACCCCAACGCCATGGAGGTGGAGCACGAGAGCGACAACAGCAGCCAGCCGCCGTCTGAGTATCCGAGCACGCAAAAGGCGTGGCCGGACCAGGCCGATCGCGCATCATCGGAATTTAGCATCCATCAAGATGAGGATCACTGAGCTGTTCATGGAGGTGGGGTTGACTTAGCCTCGTCATCTCCTTTCTTCCTCTTTCTCGCTTCTTCCCTTTTTTCTTCTTCTTCTCATGTTTGCGAGGCATGGCTTGTTCTAGATGAGAAATGATTCTCATGGGATTTATGGGTATAGGGTCGTATATACAATATGCAATGGCGGCCAACGTGTTGAATATCTAGCTGATGGATTTTGTTTTTTTTTCCTTTGTTTATACCTCATGTACGGCGTTGGGGGCGTTTTTGATAGCGGAGAATCTATCGGGCTTGGGCGTTTTCTTGGATCAAACAGGCGGCTTTTCATCTTTTGTCGCAGTATACTGTATACTCTCCTCCTACATTTGTTGTTCGCCTTTTTTTTTTTTTTTTTTTTTTTTTGGATACGCCTAGGTGAAGGCATAGGCGGATTTCTTGAATACTTCTTTCTCATAGACAAGAAATATACACCGTGAGATTACTAGCCAAGTAAACTCTCAAACCAGATCTACCAATGTCTCAATCAAAGATACAACATTTTTGGCGTGTGATTCCAAAACCGCGACACACAAAGTGCCATCCAAAATCGTCAGGTGCTAAAAAGGGAGGTGGCATATGACAGACCCCACGAGACACACAGAGACAGAATACTACACCACAAAGCACGATCAAAGTACAGGTACTGATTTAAAATATTTTACTTGATTTCTTTTTTTTTAATGTAGTGACAAGTATCAGCTACCTATCTGGTATATATATTATTTTTCGCGCCCAAAAAAAAGGGGGGGGAGGACAAATCTATATCAGTAAAAACTGAGGGAAACAGCAAAATTCTATGTTGTGTGATGATAACGGTAATGTCATGTGGATATAGATAAGGTAGATATAGAGGGTGCATGTGTTTTGTATGCATGTACTTTGCGTGAGTGTGTGAGAGAGGATCGCGGTATTAGCGGGATCGGGTATCAAAAAGGCCTCCCCAGAACGACTCTTTAAAAATGCCCAGGGAAACTTCCTCCCCCAATCAAAAAAAACACCAGAAGATATGCAAGGGAAGGAAAAGAGAGAGAAAATCATCAATTCGTCGGTGAAGACCGTCATGAGGCCAAAAAGGCACTCGTCGGGAAACGAAAGCATTTATCAACTCCAATATGCAAAAAACAAGGGGAAGGGGGGGAAACCAAGGTGTAAAAAGGAAAACAACTCCGGTGCGTTCTCGCGCCCGTCTAGAAGCGCCTGAAAAAAAAAATCAAGACATTTCGTTCCCTCAATGCATCATTCCTAGATGCATTTCGGGCCGCGAAAAAGTCCTCCAACCAATTCCATGTGATTCGGTCCCTCTTGGGTATCAATTCCCCATCTTTCATTGGGTATACATCCAACCATGGCGAACAGTGTTCAAAATATGTAGTAGAATAGAAAAACAAACAAGGCAGCGAGCCTTAGCTTTGTGCCGATACATATGCTCGAATATGCATGTGTGTCTAATGGTACCAGGTGCCCTTGGGGTCAATCTCGTAGAGCAGGCGGCAGTTTCTCGCCGGGCAGAGCGTCTGGCGCTCGAGATTCTTGAATTTAGGCCCACTGGGTCCGGTCACATAGTGGTACTGGCCAAAGAGACGCCACTGTCGCATATCTGCAAGAGTGTAAGTCTCATCGCCCCATCGGCCCTGGTAGTGCAGCCACGTAACAGGAGCATCCGGATTGGACGCGGCAGGGGTGAAGCTGTGTGTGTCGTGCGTGAGCCCTTGCTCTGCGATGCCGTCCTCGTGCTCGATGGTGTCTTTTGGGTTTTCAAGTGTATAATCGTAAAAATAAGCGTAGTTGTTCAGCGCGGGGTCCCATAGCGGTCCCTTGTCCGTAACGTCTTTGAGCATTTTAAAGGGCAGAACGTAGGGATGGATGCCTGGTAGAGCATACATGGCATGAGACCCAACGGCCGAGTAAATGACGGGTCTGATGCCACGCTTCTCAATTGCCTCCCAAGCGTACGCCTGACCACCCTCGTGCTCGGAGAAGAAAATGCCACGGGGCACGCCGTTCTGAAAGCGCACCATGCAGTGCTCCCAGTCACCCACATGGTTTCCGAAACGCAGGCCGATCACAGTTTGCCCTAGATTATAGCTGTAAAAGAAGAACCAAAAAGCATCAACGATGCCCGAGCCCTTATCCACAAGGACTAGAGTAGCTGGCGCCTTGGAGTAGCCGTCGGGATCTGGTTTGTGGCCGCGCGGAATGACCTTTTGCTGCTCTTTGCCAGGGCTGGGCGTGGGAGCATATGCGGGGACGTTGTGGTTCCGGGGATCCGAGATACGATGCACAGGATGCTTCTTGTCCACATCAAACCAAGTGTCGGGCTCGCTATGCGGCTTTCTACCGTTCCCTACGGGAGGCGGCGTAGAAGCATCAGGGTCATCGAATGGGCTCGGCAGGTTATCATGGCTATGGAGCCAACTTGGTCGAGATTCAACGTCCTCTCTGCTGTGGAGCGTGACCATCTGGTTGTCGTAGCGGTTGAGTGCCTGCAGGTTATGCAGTGATACTTTCTCGGTCAAGTTGACTCGTTTATGATCTACCGTGACAGTCATGTGTTCGATGTGCTCGCGAATGTCGGAGGGCCAAAATTGCTCGCCAGAGTAGAGGTGTACCAGCGGGGCATGATCAAGAACATATTGGGGAACGTCTCTGAGGATCCTCCGTCGCTCCTTTGGGTTTCTCTTCATATCCGACCTCTTGCTTTTTCGCAGTTCAGGGTTTGGGGCGTTGAGCTCAGCATCCTCCTCCCACGTACGGTCCATGCGCTTGCTATCCATGCGCTTGCGCAATTCCACTCTCAGAAGCTCATCTTCAGGGTCGTCGTCGAGGATGGGCGGGAGCACGGCAGGGTCCCTTCTCAGGTGGTGCAGGCCACAAAGACTAATCCATCGGCAGGCCTGGCGGTCCCAGAAGTAGGGACTGCTGCTAACCCAGAGTCTGTCACGAGCGCGACTCTCGGGGCCTCTGTTTGAGGGATCGAGGATAACAGGTAGGTATGTGGCCACGAAGATGATGAGTGCCAGCGGCACCGTCACTATGGTGAAGCGTCGCAGCCAGTACATGGCGGCTTCGATGCGCCGGAGCGATCGGCAACGACAGGTCGAGGTATATGCGTGTTGATCGAGGTGGATATAGGTAGCTGGGTGGTGGACGGGTTATAAAGCACGATTGCCGGGAGCCGAGGACGGTCAGCTGGACTGTTCGAGGTGGCTATGATGTGGAATGACGATCGATCTGGTAAGGCTGCGAACAAAGGATGACGGCGAATGTCTGTTGGAAGAAGAGGGAATAAATGTCGTGCAGGAAGACCTTCATGAAAAAGAACGAGAAGAACGAACGACAGATGTCGACAGGCCCAGGTTCCGGAAGAAGCGGGAGGTCCGGGGCGCGGCTGGGGCTGGAAGCGGGTATAAGTTGAGACAGGGTGAGGAATGCAAGGCCTATTATAAGTGCATCACGAAGGGGAACCGACGATGCGAAAAGCACTAATCACGACTCCCCTGGCGACATGGCCAAGCGGATCACAAGCGATATCGAAGAGGAGGTGGGGAAAAATAGAGAGGGAGAAAAAAAGGAAAGAAAGGAAGAAAAAGTCAAGGCGGGAAGCGTAGCCATCGAGGCCGCAAGATGGTGGTTTGAGGTGAGGGTGTGTGTGTTCCAGAGCGGTACTTGTCCAGGTACTGTACATGCATTCGGGCGGCAGGTGGACACTCCACACCGGCACCGGCCAAAGTACCGGTACCTGTAGCGCTGCGGCTGGACCTGTAGACTTTGCCACGCGGCGACGTGGTTGGCCCTAGGGGCTTGTTTTAGTGGATGGTGGCGGCCATGATTGGCTCGGCATTGCTCGGGCGCTTCGCGGTACCTCGCAGTGCTGCCTGACCGCCCAGCGCAAGAGTACGAGTACGAGGCCTGTGAAGCCGAGCGCCGGGGAGGGCGTGTACCAGTACCTGTGCCTGTAAGGCATTTGCCTGGCTGTGGAAGGAGTGTCCGGCTGAGCCGCCCTGACAGGAAGCCAAGACCAACCTTCCGCGCCTGCCCCCTTCTCCTCCTATCATTTCGCTATGTCATTCGCTAGACTCCGCACGCAAGCGGTACCATGTGTTCTTGCCAGCTTGCCAGCGAACGTGTTTGCAGTGCGAGTGCCTGTAAGCACTCAAGAAAGAACAGGTAGCAGTACATTAGAGTGCTACGTGGAGCCACATCAGCCACTCCATTAGGATTGCAGCGTTGTACAAGTACTAAACCTACGAGTACAAGCCTCTTCCTCTTCCTCTTTTGCGCATTAAAAAGCCGACACTATTGAGGTTTCGTTTCTGCTTCACCTCCTTCAACCACCGTCCGTCTCCATTTCATGAACCCCGCCGGCCGCAATCTCGAGAGCCTATGAGATCCAGCTGATGGCGCATCGTGGGCCGGTTCGTAGTGCTAACGGGCCTTGGTGCATGACATCCCGAAAGAGAGAAAAACTCTGCCACGGTAGGTAATCCCTAAAGTAGGTGGCAGTGTTAGTGTCTTCGTAAACCACTAGTTCTGCTTGTGGTTGTCGTTGGAGACTACCCTGAAATCCACCCGATGGAAAGGGCGAAACTAATGGCTATTCGATATACTGTACACTCAATCGAGAAACCAGAAATACATGTTACCTGCTTTCATCGAGTTGTTGAATCTGCAACTATAGGAACATCAATTCGATCAAGCTGCTCGGTGTTTGCCGGGTACTCGGACTCTCCATCCCCAAAACTCTTTTTTTGTCTTCCATTCCCCGTCAGGGATGCCACCCCAAAAACTCAAAAACAGTACGTCATCAAGCCATATCCGGGCACTCTGCATGAATTAAGCCGGCCGGCAGTCTCAATCCAGAAAGAGCCCAAATGCCAGAGCACCGAATGCCGTGAGAAGACATGACGACAAGTAATTCATCCCCCGTGTGAGTTTCTTGAGGCATTTCCATTGTATTCTACCCATCTAGCCACTAGTCAGTCTGCATGCATCGCTCTGCGTCCTTTCACAATCGGCGCTGGCTCCTTTTAACAACGGACACCACTTTTTAGCTCCGACATCGTTCACCTCCAGAACCTCGAGTACTTTGTGTACGTGTACAGCCGGCTTACCTCATATGCAAGTGCTATTAGTGGTTACGTGTAAACGGGAGGCTTACCCGCAACTGCAGATTATTCACATCCATTGATATCTGTTTATAGTTCAAACGATGCAGGAGTAGCTTACTATACACTTTCGCCCATCAATTACTTGGATATACCTAGTAGTGTCCATATACATGCATGCATCTCACTCGAACCACCACAACGATTGACTGCTTGTTAGGGTGCTTCGTACTCGTAAATCTCGTCCCCACTAGTGGGACGGTTGGCCTCCAGATAACACAAGTCTCAGTACATCTGATGGAATGGCATGTTTCGAACTGGAATCTGATATGTCCATAACCATGGTCATGGTCATGGCATGTCGCGACCATTATCATCAATGGCTTCTATCAAAGTGACTATGTTCATCTTTTTGTTCCTTCCAGACAATCCACACACCCTCCCGCGTACTGGCGGCCCTTGGTCGCTGGCTCGGATCTGGCCAATAGCAGAACATGGTATCAGCATGCGGCAGTTGAAAGTCATCTCGACGATCGCGGGTTGGTACACAAGGCAATGGACCATCCATGCAAATCATTAGCCTCATCTGCTGGATTCATCCCGTGGACCCTTGAACTGCCAGACGCCAAGAGATCGTCCCGTTGCTGCTGTGTCCTAAAATTCGCTTGTGTGCTAATCGATGCAACCATGTGTGGCGAACCACTTCTGCTGAGGCGGCCACATGGTAGCACCCAATGGTCGACATCACCCTATCATGGCTTGGCTTCTTGGACGTCTGTAGATATGCAAGGCTACCTTCAGTTGTGCCTCATGGGCAGCTAAGGGCCACACATGACTCTTTTGTCGCATTTATCCGCAAGCGAAAAACAACATCGCTGCCAAGATGGCGATGTAGTCAATGGGCTATCAGTTTCACTGTCTCGTTTGTAGGGCTAGTCATGCATCCACCCCTTATTGATTTCTTGATGCTTCTTGCTTTTGCTATTCTTCGTGGCCACTGAAAGAATGTCGTGTCTTGGAATAGCATCCCCATTTGCCATTGCATCGCACATGGCTAGATGGGTGTCGGCCCTATCAGTTCCTTCAAATGTCATCACATGAGCCCAATTCTAAGCCAACATAAGCTTCATTCATATTTCCAGGCGGCCTAGGGTGTAGAAATCGACTAGTAGGATGCAGCCTGGCATGTAATCGACCTCTAATCACCATATAGCCGAGCCGTAAAAGACCGGCTTTTGTGAAGGCATCGTAGTTTTTGCGTTATTTTCCATTCGCAGCAGCTATGAAGGCTAAGCGAGTTCGCAGGCTTATCAGGAATCTGTCTGGATTCAGGGGCGCGGGGTAGGAGGTTGTCTCCGTACCAAACCTAGTCCAGTATCATGGCATCGTTGTCATCTTCGTCCCCATCGTCGTCCTCGTTGTCATCATCGGAACCCGCACGTCTTCTTTCTGGTCCATCACTGTCCTCGTAGATGTCGTTGAGACTATCGTTATCATTATCGTCCTCGTCATCTTGAATCCCAAAGAGTTCGTCCCAGTGACTTGGCGTGGGCGTGGACAGCGTATTCGAATCCAAACCTGAACCAGCGCCCCTATCCGTTGCCGCTGATGTTCCTCTCGCAGCAGATGCCCTTCTTCGTCTACCGCCTCGGCGACCCTGGCTTCGCCTTGTATATCGACGTTCTCTTCTGTCACTCTGACTGGCCCCGTTGGTTTGATCGACGCCGAGACTAGGCTTTTTCCTGCGAGGTTTGAAATCTGGTCCCTTTCTGTCGTCAAAATCTTTTCCAGGGCCATCCATAGCATATACTGTGACTTCATCTGCGTCCCCCCTTTTCTTCTTCAAGGCGATGAGATTTTCTAGGAAGCGCAACTGCTGCGCTCTTTCACCGGTCCTATCCTTCCCTGGGGGGATGCGAATGTTCCACTCCTCGCGAATGGCCGCCAAAGAGTCCTCTTGGGCAACTCTGGGTTTCAGAATCTTTTCGGTGGTCAAGATGCGCGAAGAGCTTGCTCCGAGCATATCCACACCGCCGGGAAGATGACGAAGAGCAGGTAACTGAGCGGCATCTTTGGCTTCACGATCGGTCAATATTGCCTCTGTGCCAATAACCTCTGCCCATTGTCCCTCAAAAACTCGACCTCTGTAGGATATAATCGGATTGCGAGAGTGAAGTTCGAGTATCTGTATCTCTTCCAGGGGGTCGTTTGCCGACTCTTCGTCACCTTCTGTTGCCTCTGGTACGGCTTTCGTGGTTTCTGTCTCTTTTTCCTTTCCTTTCCCTTTGTCTTTTTTCCCTTGCTTCGCTGTTTTCTTAGCGTCATTGCGACTGTCGTCCCCCATAGCTCGTAGACGAGGATCTATGTTTGCGTCCTCTGCATTCTCCTCTTCTTCCTCTTCCGGCACCTCCTCTTCCGGTTCAGGGGCTTCTTCATTATTTTCGTCATTGTCTTTACCATTGCCATCTCCGTTATGATTGGGGTCTTGCTGGCCGACGGCAAGGTCTGGCTTGGCGTCTAACTTCAGGTAGTCGGCATACTGATCTGACCAGTTCTTGTAATACCCGCCACGGCTGTGATGGTGGGCTTTTGCTGGACGATCCTTGAACTCTGGATAAGATAGTTCAAGCGTTAGATAGTACGTCTAATTGGTGACATGGGTTAACATCTGGTAACGCGTAGTCAAGTTATAGTGTAGAGGAGAGTAGAGCTTACCTCTGTCTCAGTAGCAGAGTATTCGTATTCCCACTCATCCTGGTCATCTTGCGAGACCTGCTGCAAGATTGTATCGACATTCAAGGCGCCAGCTTCATCTCCCAGCCATGGCGATGCTGTCGCTGTCGCTGCCGTGGTCGTGGATGCTGTTGCCGCTGCAGCTGCTGAGGTTGCCATAGCAGCCAGCTACAGAGCTTATCCTCGAGATATGCAGTGGAATATGATGCTGCGATGGAGAATGTAGATGGAAATATCCGATCCGTTTGTTCAAATTATGTATTAAGGCACCATCTCTGTCGCGTATCTTGAGAGATGCGTGCACTAAGCCGGTTGAGCTTCAATGCCGAGAACGAAATGCAGGAATAGCTGTGGCGGGGCCAAACGTGCAAAATGCAGTCGCTCTCAGAAGAAGCTCTTGCCAAAGTTGGGGCGTCTACTTTCGGCATAGCCGGTGACTGTTTTCAAGGCTAGACCCCGCTATCGCTCTCAAGTCCCGTTATCAGGGCTTCGATAAGAATTTCGAATCTCAGTTCATAGCGGTTGACTGATTCGACTCAGACTCTTTTCTTGACTCACAACTCGCGGCAAAGCATTCCTCGACTGCAAAGTTATATAAACGACCCTTTGATACATCGTTCAGCGCATGAAGCAGCACAATCGAGCTGTGTAACCGTCCTCAATCCAATCAACTTATTCGCTGAACCCCGCGGACTTTTTGCAAACAGCAACGGGCAAGATGCCCACGGTTCACCTCTTAGACTACGTCGCCGGCAATATTCGCAGTCTGGTTAATGCCATTGAAAAGCTGGGCTATGAGGTAGACTGGGTCCGGTCTCCCGAAGATGTGCCCAAGGCAGAGGTTTGAATGGCCGTTGTAACCGTTGGAAATTGCATCACTTACTCACCTGTCGTAACAGAAACTCATTCTGCCCGGTGTCGGCCACTTCGGCCACTGCATGACACAGCTTTCTCAGGCAAACTACCTGCCTGCGATAAAAAAGCACATTGAAGCTGGCAAGCCATTTATGGGCATCTGTGTTGGCCTCCAAGCCCTCTTCCAGGGCTCCGAGGAAGATCCTGAGGTTCCCGGTCTCGGCGTGATACCTTCATATCTCACTCACTTTGATGAAAGCGACAAATCGGTGCCGCACATCGGATGGAACAACGCCAACACTGGAGGCAAGGTCATGTATGACCTGAGACCAGACTCCAAATACTACTACGTCCACTCCTACAAGTCCCCTTACAGCAAAGGCACGCTCGAGGCCCAAGGCTGGACAGTTGCGACAGGAACCTACGGAAGCGAGACATTCATCGGCGCCATTGCAAAGGGCAACATTTACGCTACCCAATTCCACCCTGAAAAGTCTGGTGTTGCCGGCCTTCGGACGATCCGGGCCTTCTTGACCGGCTCCGGAGCGCAAAACCTCGGAGCTGATCTGCCCTCCGACGTTGCATCAGCTGCCCCCAAGGACGGTCTCACCCGCCGACTCATTGCCTGTCTTGACGTCCGAACCAATGACCAAGGCGATCTCGTCGTCACAAAAGGAGATCAGTACGACGTCCGCGAAAAGGGTGCTGACCGCAATGTCCGCAATCTGGGCAAGCCCGTGGAGATGGCTAAGAAATACTACGAATCCGGTGCCGACGAAGTCACCTTTCTCAACATCACATCTTTCCGCGACTGTCCCCTCGCCGATCTTCCTATGCTGGAGGTCCTCAGACAGACCTCACTAACCGTCTTCGTGCCCCTTACCATCGGAGGCGGTATCCGCGACACTGTCGACACGGATGGCACAAAAGTCTCTGCTCTTGATATTGCCACCATGTACTTCAAGTCCGGCGCCGACAAGGTCTCCATCGGATCCGACGCCGTCCTGGCCGCCGAGGAATACTACTCTCTCGGCAAGAAGCTCTTTGGTAACACCGCCATTGAGCAAATCTCCCGCGCCTACGGCCGACAAGCCGTCGTCGTCAGCGTCGACCCCAAGCGCGTCTACGTCCCCAAGCTCGATGCCACCCGCCACGCCATCGTCGAGACAAAGTTCCCCGGCCCCAAAGGCGAGGCCTTCTGCTGGTACGCCTGCACCATCAAGGGCGGCCGCGAGACACGCGATATGGACGTTGTGGAGCTCACGCAGGCCGTCGAGGCGATGGGCGCGGGAGAGATTTTGCTCAACTGCATTGACAAGGACGGCACCAATAGCGGATTTGACCTCGAGCTCATTCAGCAGGTCAAGAACGCTATCAAGATCCCCGTCATTGCGTCCAGCGGCGCCGGTAACCCGGGGCACTTTGAGGAGGTGTTTGAGAAGACTACTACGGATGCCGCTCTTGGAGCTGGCATGTTCCACCGAGGAGAGTATACAGTAAAACAGGTCAAGGATTTCCTCCAGGACAAGGGTCTACTGATACGACAATTTGATGGAGACCTATGATTTAGGGATACGAACAAAAAAAGGGGGCTTCGGGGTTAGGGTGGGTGGTTATAGACTATTCGCAAGACGCAATTGATGCATTTCATGTCCATGATTACACTGTAAAAGATGACAAGTAAAAAAGTTTAATTCTATCACAGATGATGAGGGAAGAAAAGAGTTTGATCCATTCACTCAAAACTAAATGTTGTCAACTAACTAACCCGATAACTGTTTGGCCTACACCTGTCCGGAGCACTCCGTACAGTCTATCCCTGTCGATCCATGACTCCAAATGAAAAAGCATCGAGATACTTTTCAAAGGGCAGTTTGACCAATACCAAAACGACACAACACCAAAACGACACAACACCAAAAACATATAAACAGTCCCAACTAAAAACTCCCGGGATGGTACTAGCTTCAAAAGAACAAGAGAAGCAGAATCACTGACCAACGCCCTTATGCTTTTTGTTTGCTTTTTCGAGCCATAAAGAACAAACGGGCGGATCCAGGATCAACAACGAATCAATCTGGTTTCCTTAACAAGTAAAGCTGGTTCCCCAATAAAACGAATGCGCAGTAAAGCAAATAAAGCAAGAGAAAAAACTAGAGTTCCATGCCCATGAAAATCCACTGTTTGCTAGTCACGTCCAAGTCACTGGCCCAGTGGTCTAGCGTGGCCATGTCGAAGCCAACCCATTGAAGGCTCTTGATCAAATCACGAGCATTATCTGCAGGTAGGCGGCGATCAAGACATGTGATGATCTGGCTACAGGCCAGGGGACCATCAGCAAGTTCGATGAGCGCCATAAGACTATAAGACGAGATGTTAGTAATGGGTTCAAATCTAATGGCTGGGCAGAAATGAGGTTACAACTTACGCCTTTTTCAAGTCTCTTCCGAGCACGCCTTCAATGTCGAAGAAGATGAAGAGGGACTTCTCCCTTCCATCGTCTGCCACAAAGGCGCGGAAGCTCGATCCGCCGGCGTAGTCCCAGACTTCCATCCAGGCGTCGATCCGCGAGCCAGCCGGAACAGTGTCCGGGCCCTGGTTGAATGGATCCGCGAGGTGGTGGTCGGGTGGCGGCGATTGTAAATAAGCACCTGAAAAGCCGGAGCCATTGATAGACAGGTTCCTCTCACCAAGGAACACGGTCTTCATGGTCTCACAGAAGAATCTCTCACATTCTTCCCTGATCATGAGTGCTGCCCCCCCTCGTCGCTCCAGGCGTCTGCCTGGAATGTCGCGCTTCTTCTGCTTAGGAAGAAGGGCGAGCTGGTTGGACGAGGTCAATGCGGCGAGGGGGGGGCTTGACGGAGGAGAAGGCAGGCCTGAGGAAGGGACCTCAGGAATACCACTCCGCCCCTGGAGGAACAAGAGACGTAATGTTAGAATAGGGTGACTTCAAGACGAGGAGATTAGAAGAAGAAGAAGGGAAGCTTACCTGTGACCCCCGTAGTGCAGTAGTGGAGGCCCTTGAGGTTGGCGGCAGAGTCAACAACGTAGCAGGAGGCAAGGACGTTGACACGGGCAGTCAACTCCTCGCCATAATTACTACTGTAATTTATACTTTGGTTACTCATTGGCGCCATTGCTGTTGGATTCCACGGTGATCGCTTGGGAGATCTGTTTCTTGAAAGAGAGATGGGAAATACCGAGCCTCGGGCTAGGTCGACTGCGGGTGGCGAATGACTGGTAGGGGTCGTGCAGAGCAGCGGAGCGATCAATTAGGACTTGATCGAAGATGTAAGTCGGTGCGTTTGTTTGGTTGGAGTCTCGAGCGATGTAATCGGGTCGATTTCGCGATGCTGGCTCGTTGAGCTGATGGTCAGACGGCAGGTAGTTTGACGAAGCGGTTTTTTGCAGTGAAATTGCGTGCAGGTGGTGGAAAAGGAAAAAGCGGAGGAGCACAGGAAATTCGGCAGAAGTGGTGCGCTTTAACTGGATTGGCGGCTTGCTGACTAGCACTTACAGGTGGACGCTTCCAGGCCGTTCGGCGGGACATTTGGACATTGGCAGGCCGCTTACAGCGCTTCAGGGCCTGTGGCCCAGCGGAGAAGGAGGCGCTTGGGAGTTCCATCCAGTGCCAATCATCCGGGCCGCCAAGCCCACATGCTGGATGACTGATTCACAGCTTCTCGGCGTTAGTGGACACTGTCTTGGGGCGCACCGGCTGCGTGCGGTGGCACAGTGCGACCCTTCGTCCAGCGTGTTTGTCGCCGTCTGCGGCCCCCGAGCTTCCGCTGTCAAACGGCGCTGATGACGAAATTTTCTCTCGCCAAGGCCGTGACCTCGTACAATGGTGATCAATGATTGATTGCACTGTTTGACGGTGGGGGATTTCGGGGGTGAGCTGATTCGGTGGTCTGGAATGGTGGGTTCAACAACATTCATGGGCTTCAAAGTGTCACTCCGGCTGTCAAATCTTCTGGATAATTACGGTGATAGTGCATTAGCTGTTAGGTGAACCTGAACCTTATCCAGCTTAGTACGGGCGCAATAGCAAAGCTTCAGCTTTCAGCCAAAGCATCTTAGCTTCAAGGTCTGTACCTACAGGGCAGGTACATGGATGCTGAAAAGGGGGCGCAGAACCACCTTGCTGTCATGTACTCCATTTGTGTCTGTGCAGTATCAAGGTGTCTCCGAGTACGACCGTCTGTGCACCTCATGTCTTGATTCAGTCCAGACGCTGTGGTTTCAATCATACGAGTATGGTTAAGTGAAGCACGAGGTTACAGGAGAGCTCAAGCTTCATAACTTCAAGTGGTATTGGGCAGAAATAACACTGTTTGCTAACGATGAGTCAATGAGACACCGTGAGACACCACGAACGCATTCATCACCAAAGCCACCCCTTAGATTCTACATTCATCGATCCGTGACTGCAACCAAACAAGGACAAGAGAGACAAGTATTCACATTCACAGACTTCTCGGCCGTCTGCCATGTACATTCATGTATGCTATGACCACTACTTACATCCTAGGTAGATGGGCCCTTTATCCATCTCGCTACCCAAACGACTTATCAGGTATAGATTTTAATAACCCTCTGAGGCCCAGTCATCACAAGGCATATATAATAAACAAATTTGCCAAACCCTCTGCTTTGGCATATGCGCCTGGTGTAAAAGAAAAAGGAAAATAGGAATCAAAACAAAACAAGCAAAATCAAAACCAATCACAACCAACATCTAACTCCTCCAGCTGTTTAACCGTGTCTCGCGCTGAGGCTTGCAAAGGCATCGGGGCTGTGCCGTCCATTCGTCCATGCCATATCCATACCCAGGTTCATGCTTTCTCTACTAATCTTGCGATCCGTGGCAAAGGGGTCTGGAGCTACTGCTGGAGGTCCGCTCTTCATAAACGGGTTGTTGTTTCCTGCAAGTGGCTGTGTCGCGCTCAGAGGTGACTGGGCTGGAGCTGCTGGAGAATGCATGGCCTGCATTGGCATGGGTCTGTCCTCTGGGATAGTTGGCGTTTGTGCGTGTATGTTGGGATCAGAGACCGTGGGACGTGCTGCTTGCGGCTGGCCATATAGCGCGAGGATGGAGGCCTTGTCTTGACGCTGAGGCTGATAATATTGCTGCTGCTGCTGCTGTTGCTGCTGTAGTTGCTGCTGCTGTCCATAAAACTGAGGCTGCTGCTGCTGTCCGTAAAGCTGAGGTTGCTGCTGCTGTCCATAAAACTGAGGTTGTTGCTGCGTCACTTGCTGGGGGTGCTGCACGCCATTGTTCAAAAAGGGATTCGTTCCAGTCAGGTGTTGCTGCAGTGGCGTTGGGGCCTGGAAAATGGTAGGCAGAGACTGCTCTGGAATCTGGGTGAGAGAAGGCGACGATATCCTAGTCGGTGATCGCGTAAAGGGATTGTTCGCATACGCCGCAGCCTGGTTGGTGTTGAGCGACAAGCTTTGTTGAGGTGCCTGTTGCTGAAACTGCTGGGCCGGTGCCTGCGTGAAGAATGGATTGTAGCCCGTCTGCTGTGGCGCAATGGGCTGTGCGGCAGGTTGAGGGTATGTCATACTATTCTGGAAGCTCAAGCTCTGATATTGCTGAGGCATTGACGGAGTAGCTTGCGACTGAGAGTACATCGCGTACTGATGGGGCGTCGAGATGACTCCACCAGTATGATGGGGGAAAAGAGGTTGAGCTTGCGGAGACAGGGACATATTCTGGAACGCTTGGGTGACAAGGCTGGCCTGTTGTGCTGGTGTTCCATAGGGATTCGTCGAGTTTATAAAAGGATTGTTGGTCTGGAGTGTCCCGGTGGAATGAGCCGTCTGGGGCTGAGCAGGCGGGAAGATATCGAACGGATTCGTAGACGCTGCTGAAGCCGTAATTGGGCGTTCTGGAGTCGCTTCCTTCTGGGACACGCTCAAACCTAGGTTAAGACCCACGGGATTCGATCCTACTGGCGTCAGCGACCTTGAAGCTCGCAGCGTCCGTTCAGCAGCCGCGCCGAGCCCTGGTGATTTACTCTCGCCTTCGCCAAGACGAACGAGTGCCTCAACGGCACGTTCCAAGTTGCCGTTGACTCCCTTTAGAATAGTTGCATTTCGATGGTCGTCCTGGAAGCCCATGTCTCGTAGTCTCGCTAGTTTCTTGTCTGTGTCGTCCTGGCCGTAGTCTACAGAAGCTCCAAAAACTTTGGACTGTTTGTTTGCGTGGTTCCCATGGTTAGCCGAAGAATTGGAATTCGCAAGCTCTTGCGCAGCGGCAGCCTTGGCCTCCTTCTTCGCCCGCGATGACAGTGGGAATATTGACGAGGCCGATCTGAATCCAAACTTGGAGTTCTTGGGCGGTAACGGTGGTGGAGTTCCTTCATCCAGCTGCGGTTTTTTCAGCTTCCCAGCCTGGCCCGCGACAGTATTGATATATTTTTGCCGAATGAATCTCTCCATAGCCGAGTCTGCTTCATCCACGTCAATAGGCACCGATGCCGTCTTGTTCTCGGGGTTGTATATCTTGTTCGACGTAGTGTTGCCGACCTTTCGCATGTTCTATGACCAAAACAGATAAGTTTCCTACATCCACAACATTGTACAAAGGGGCGGTGTTCGCTCACGTCAACTTGTTCATTCGTCCATGCATCCATGCTTAGCGACTTGACTTTGGATATGTGCGTGCCTAGTTTTCGATGTATCGCAGCACAGCGCATACATAGGAAGACTCCCAGCTGTAATTGCACAGGTCAGTATCTATCATCTCAAACCGCAGCGTCGTTGAGGAAAGGATATCGTACGCTCCATGATGCCCAAGCTGTAACACAGGTCGCGGTTAGCAAGAGGTTGTACGAGATGTGCGAACGGAGACAGTAGATGCATACATGGATTTCGCGCGTGACAGTCGGCGCACTGGTCATTGCCTGGAACGGAATGTACCAGATCCTGGAGAATCGCCTCATTACGCGCCTGCTGGCGCTTGCTCAAAGTCCCCGTCATGACGCTGTCGTGGCTCTCTAGCGATGTTCTGCGTCGAGTCCAAGCGAGTGTACAGTAATGGGTAGCAGAGACAAATGCGCGCGTGAAGGCTCAGGCGTAAGAGGACCGGGGTGCTCGCCGTATCCAAGCAATTGGAGACCCAAACGGGCCTATTCGATTTTCGACGGCTGGCTGTAAGATGAGGCTTTGGAATCAGACAAGGGTCATGGCGATGGAGACGGGCAAGGAGGGGCCGTGCAGGAGCTGGCAAAGGAAAGGGACCAAACGAGAACGTCGATGCCAGCAGACAGCTCGCAGATGGGCGGAGAAGGAAAAGCAAGGCACGAAACAACAAGTCAAAAAAAAAAGACGAGGAGAAAGCACAAAGAAAATGGTGCTAGCGAGGCAAGCGATTCATGGGTGATGCGATTCGATTTCGGACTACCCACTGGGGAAAAGGAGAAGCATCGAATCATTACCCGACGTTGGTTTTAGCCTGCAGATGCCACACGACCAGCCCGGCCTAGCAGAAGGGCCAAGCACCGCGCCACAGCATTTGTGGATAGGCCCCAATTGTTCCAGAGAGCCTTGGAAGCGCTGGGCTCAGGGCCTGCAGACGCCTGTGCAGACGCCTGTGCTCGAGGCGAGTTAGCGGCCCTGGCTCTGCGCTTCAGCGGTGTTGGTAGTGCTGCATCCTTCGTATTTTGGGCGCCAAATGGGCTCAAGGCGCCGACAAAAGACCCGTCGCGGCGGGGCTAATCGATAAGGCTGGGATTATTGCAAACAATAGTCTGCATCTGGAGACGAAGAACGTGGAAGCCATGTGCGGATGAATCACCAGGAGATGCGAGGTTCTCGATCTGGTAGAGGCGAAGCAATGCAATGCACAGATGACCGGTTTCAGGTGAATGGATCGGTTATGGGGAATTCTCCGGTCGGCGGCAGCTGGCAACTGCGTTGTCAGTTTATTAGCAAGCGTAGAGGTGTAGCACAACTTGATGGCAGCTCGTGATGACCACTCAAGTAGCACTCGAGGTGCTCAGTACAGGTGTTGCTATGCTATGACTTCCTTTCTCTCAAAGTAAAGTAAATTTGGTGGGTTGTCCTTTGGTCATGGAGAATTCCAAATGCCCTCATACCCACACTTTGATCGCGTGGAGTTCTTGTGTATCCGATTTATCTTCGTCTGATGGCTTGGAGAGCAGTTCTGGATTGCGATAGTCCTCCCCGGCTGTTAGCCACCGGGACACCCGACCACCTCCGGATATACCATCGGCATACACACAAAACACATCTATGCTCGGTCAGGGCCTTTAAACTCCCACCCGCTGTCACTCACGTGTCCTCGATCCTCGGCTCCGGCCTTGCCGGCCTATTGGTCTCTCCACGGTCGGAGTCTAGGTTAAGCAACCTCCGTGGATGAAGTCGGCCTGACTTTGCCTCCTAGGGTCTGGCCTCGGTACCCGTCGACGCCGTGGTGGTGCCACTGACGCAGAGGTCACCATAAGCCTAACTACGACTCAGGTAAAAGCTATTCCAATCCCCAGATGACAAAGAAAAAATAATGGCCGTGAGTCCGCTCGCGAAATTGGTCAACTGCCAACTGGCGGCTCGGATACATCCGCCGTGCCTTGCGCCATCCCTCAAATCGCCGCGCTTGTTCCGTTTCCCAGCGTGTTCGCCGTCCGAGTCCAGCCGCCGAAAGGGCCGGACTCTGGTATGTCACGGATCATTTATTAGAAAGAGAGACCCAGCAAGGCCTTGGATGCTGACGGCGGCCAACCTTCCAATCGTATGGGCCTATATTGTATTACTTGTATGTCACCGACGGGCTTACTGAACTCTGCTCTGAACAAAACAGCGCGAGGGAGCGGGATTGGACCCTGGAACTCAGCCACTGCATGACCCGCCCGCCCGGCTGCTAAACCTCCCCAGCCACAACCCCGTGGGCGGCCAGCACCTACCAGCTAAGCCAAACACGTTGACAGCCCGACAGTTAACGTGGTCTGTCCAGAGCTTCAGCTCCATCTCTCCCAAAACCTCACCCTTAAAGACGCTTCCCAGCCACAAACCATCTCACTTATCTGCTCAGTCAGCTCGCTTCTCCTTTGTCTGAGCCCCAACCGACGAACCCGACGGCAGATCTGGAACATACAGGGAGCTTTGCCATGGAACAAGAGCTTTAAACAACGCAGCCTGTTTCGCGACCCTCTGCTACACAACTGACGCCGGAGCCTTTGCTGGAGACATTTCAGGAGCAATGGCTGGCATAGAGAGACTAGAGGTCCACAGCAGGGTATGGCCTTTCAATCCTCCCTCCTGAGGCTGCAAGGAGCTGCAAAAGGCTGACTCGAATCATGTAGTCCTACATTGTCCGCTGGGTCAAGGTCGAGGAGGGGAACACCCTCTCCTGGAGCGTACAACCACATAAAAAGTCCATGTGAGTAGCTGCTGCTCCAGAGAGCCGAATGCACTCTGCTGTGAATCCTAATTGACCGTGAAACCATCTAGAAACTTCGGCATCGTTAAACACCCCGGCAGCGGTGCTACGGGCCTCTCCTCCACGGCCGGCGACGGTTTCGACTCTAATAGCTCACAAACACAAGAACTTGCAGAGGGCAAAGCGAGCCGATTTGCCAAGAAAGATGTCACAGCGCAGGATCTCCTTTCCAGCAAGGGCTTTATATCGATAAAATGGTTTGGGAAGTGCGAGGCGGACAAGGTGTCCATGGGGGCTTACGACGTGCCCCTCGGGCAGACGGGCATGTATGGCCTGGTTTTTGACAACACCTTTTCTAAGCAAACATCCAAGACAGCCACATTTGTCGTCCTGACATATCCTACCGGTGCAGCTCCACAGAGCGCCAACCATCTCCCGAATTTGCAGATGCCGAATGCTAGCCAGACCAGCTTGGGCATGCATGGCAGCCCGCCAACCCGAGAGGGAGATCCCTCTGCCTCCGTGGATAGCTTCCATAGCCACCCGAGCAAGGGCCATGCGCGCACTGTATCCGAAGCAACTATGCCGGCCAATTACCATGTTGGAACGCTCTCAAAGAGAAGACGTAAGAAGGGACAGGGTTATGCTAGACGCTTCTTTTCCCTCGACTACTCTACTTGCACCCTGTCTTATTACTACAACAGGAATTCTTCTGCTCTTCGTGGAGCAATCCCCTTGAGCTTGGCTGCCATCGCTGCCGATGAGAGGAGAAGGGAAATTAGCATAGATTCCGGTGCTGAAGTATGGCACCTCAAAGCGCCCAACGACAAGGAATTTCAAGATTGGGCTCGAGCTCTTGAAAAGGCGAGCAAATTGGCGAGAGGCCTTGAAAGCCAGCCGCAGCAGCCAAAGCTTGGCTTGCAGGTTGACAACCGCACTCTACAGCAAGACAACCTTGCTGGCCACCATGGAGGCCGCGATGAAGAGGTTGAATGGCAGCAGGTCGAAACCCTGGTGAGCCGCGTTGTTGGAACTCGTGATGCGCTGCGCCGTCTAACCAAGGAGGTTGCGGCACTACCGAGACCGACGTCTTCGTCATCGCACCACTTCCTGGGTCCACCGGGGAGTGCTATTGATGAAAGTGGCGATGCAGCGGAGAAGAAGTCCTTCTGGAAACGCAAGTCTAGTAACTCCGTATCGGCCTCAACCCCTCCGACACTGCGACCGGATTCAGCGACGATCGAAGACCACACTGATGCGAACAAGCGCAGGTCTAAAGGGGCGACCCAGGAGGAAAAATCTTTGCAGGATCATTGCGCGGCTTTGCTTGCCGACCTCGATTCTGTTGTCAGTGAATTCACCATTCTCATTAACAATAGCAAACGACGCCGTATACCGGTGCCCAAGTCTGCCGATGCCGCCTCTCGCCTGAGCTTGGATACTACCTCTACAGGAGATGAGTTCTTCGACGCTGAAGATGCTACTAGGGTCGTCAAGATTGATGCCAGTGACGATGAGCCGCACGAGTCAGACGCTGATGATGCCTCTTCGCATGACAACTCATCTATTTCATCCGTCGAAGAGGAGGAGGTGCGCAGTGGCGGCGCAAACGCTCTGTTTCCAGCCAAACCAAAGAGTCTTGTTCCGTTGCCTCTTGACGTCACAGTTGGCCGAAGAACTGGGATACCGCCTGCGATGGTTTTGCCCCCTAGTCTGATTGCGTTTGTTCGGAAGAATGTTGGCAAAGATCTTAGCACCATCAGCATGCCCGTTTCCGCCAACGAGCCCATCTCCCTGCTACAGAAGATTGCAGAGCAGCTAGAATATGCGCAGCTTTTGGACCAGGCTGCTAAGCGCGGATCGGTAACCGAGCGACTGCTGTACGTTACCGCCTTTGCCGTCTCACAGTTTAGCAGTGGTCGTGCCAAGGAGCGAGCTATCCGCAAGCCGTTTAACCCTCTGCTGGGAGAGACGTTTGAATTGGTGCGCTCGAACAAGGAAACCCCTGGCGGCTTCCGCTTGCTTGTGGAGAAGGTCCAGCATCGACCTGTCAAGTTGGCAATGCAGGCTGAATCTGCCAGTTGGTCGCTCTCTCAATCTGCCGCCCCAGGTCAGAAGTTTTGGGGCAAAAGTGCCGAGATTACGACTGATGGTCGTGTAAGAGTTGTGCTGCGACTGTCAGACGGATCTGACGAGCTGTACTCGTGGAACATTGCCACGATGTTTTTGCGAAACGTGGTCATGGGCGAAAAGTACGTGGAGCCTGTCGGAACGATGAATGTGACCAACGACTCGACCGGCCACAAAGCAGCCGTTGAGTTTAGAAGCAAGGGCATGTTTGGTGGAAGAGCCGAAGATGTCAATGTGGAGACGTTTGGACCAGATGGCGGCAACACGGGCAGTGGACTCACCGGCACCTGGACTAACGGACTCAAGACGGCCGGCCCTGGAAAATCAGGAGGCGAAGAGATTTGGCACGTCGGCAAAATGGTGGACAATCCTACCCAGACGTATGGAATGACGGCATTCGCAGCCTCGCTTAACGAAATCACAGAGATTGAGAAGGGCAAGCTGCCGCCAACCGACTGCAGATTGCGTCAGGATCAGCGACTCGCCGAGCAGGGCAATCTAGACGAGGCCGAGATTTGGAAGGTCAAACTGGAGGAAGCACAACGAGCTCGTCGCCGCGTCTTGGAAGAGCGAGGTGAGCAGCACAAGCCGAGGTGGTTCGTCAAGGCGGAAGAGTCTCCAGAGGGAGAGGAGGTGTGGAGGATCAAGACGGGCAAAGACAGCTACTGGGAAGAGCGTGCAAAGGGTGCTTGGACTGGCATTGAGGAGATTTTCAGCGTGCCTGGGGAGTAGAGCTTTTGCGGGCAGTGTTATTGCTTTGTTGGGTAAAAACAATGACGGATAGAGCGGTTTGATGCTATCTAAAGATTATGAACTCTTTTTTTTCTTCAGCTTTTTGTTGCTGGAGATTGGGAAGAATAGATGCGGAAGGGGTGATGAATGTGAATATGAACTTTATGACCTCTATTTTGACGTTCTCTGCTGTCACTACGATTAGGTATGCTGAGGTTGAATGACCTGAAAGTGAGTAAATCTAGCAATCTAGGTTTGGCATACAAGCGTTGATTATCGCTTGCTGAGTGATGTAATGACGGAGTAAGTGTCAAGTTCTTGACAGATGATAATCTGCATCTTGAAGATTTGATCATGAGGCAGTGAATACAACTTCCCCTTTACACTCCGCTAGATTTTCATCAACAATGCAGAGTTCTTGTATCCGGAAATGATAGCCAGGGGTTTCCCGTTTTGACATTCCAAGCTTCATCTACTCTATCTAGGAGAATCCGATGGGAGATTAAATCAAGGCGCAAGGCGAAAGCAGCTGACGAGCATAGCAAGATCGCCACGCCGATTCAAATTTCCGCACCTCAGAATGTCTCAAAAAAGCCGGTGAAGCTTAGCGGCATTAACGTTGAGCCAACAAGCTTTCTGTGATGACTTTAGATAGTATGTACAAGTGTCAAGCGTTTGTTCAAAACAACTAAAGATGGTGATGGCCCCTGAAGATCAGAAGGTTTTTGTGGGTTTGGATCTGTGCGGGCAGGGAGATTCCCTGTGAAGGTGGCGCTTGGTGGAAGGGATTTGATCCTTCCGGGATTTTTTTTGGTACCTTGACAAAGGCTTGACTTGATTCTAAAATTTAAGGTGAGGACGAAAGAGGCAAGCCGAGGCGGAAGGAAGTTGGAGATGCTCCGATAGGGCAGCCTGTTGGTGTATTCGATATTGAAGATGCTTTCAGTGTATCGATGGGTTGGAGGAAGTAGATAAAGCCTTGAACTTTAAGTCAATGTGTGCATTTACCTGCATTAGCATGCAGCGCGAAACCGCCGTCTATTTTATGCTTCTAGTAACCGTATTAATGAAGCGACTGATCATACTGTACTCGTATCTATTTTCGTTCTGCACTGGAGATCCAAGCCGTATGGCTTCGAGAAGCAGACGGTGGAGAGTGGATTCGATGTGCGTGCGAGAGGGGCCTTTAGCAGGGGTGGTGCGGGAACAAATAACCTTGGAGGCTTTATTCGGAGCATCCACACACGACGACCGAGTTTCAAGTTTCGAGAGCGGCGGCCTATCAAGATGGAGTCACGGTCCACTCTGGATTGTGATGGCTTTTGATGTTTATTGAGATGAGTTGGTTGATTGTAATAGATGCCGAGCTCCCGGTAGACAATTCTGAGAATATTCGACTCGTGATGAAACGATTGATAGATAAGGCGTCCATGGTAAAAAGTCGAGAGGCTATTAAAAGAAACAAACAAGCGTACAAGCAAGAAATCAAGAATCTAGGCCAAGGGGCATGGTGGACCGATGACGATCGGTATATGTCACCGGATGCAAACGCGTACCTTTGGCTATGCCCGTCCAAGCATCGACGCAGCCCTCTTCTCTCGTGTTTAACCGAATCTTTGGTCGGCTCAGGTCGCCAATTGGCTGCGGGTTCGGGGTAATACGAGAGATAGCAGGAGGTGGCATCGCAAATAGACTTTGGCATCGCCTCTGCATGGACAATCCCATCCTGGAGTAGCTTCAGCTTTAATCCAATTGAGTTTTTTTGTTTATTTTTCTTTTGCTGATTTCCCATTGTGAATGAGCTGCATAAATTGTTGTTACCAAGCTTCAGCTGAGCTTGAGCTGATCTGCATTGGCTGTAACTTGAGCAGGTTACAAAAAAAAAACTTGGTTCAGGGCCTCTCCGCGCAGTGTCTCACACTGTCTGCCCATCCCAACCTCGCAGCTTCGCCCTCCTTTGTCTCTCTCCCTACATTTCATGCTTGAGCTGGCGGTTTCGTAGGTCGTAGTGGCGTCGGTCGGTCGGTGGATCATCCACCTCGTCTCCATGTGGGCTCGTGTGCGACACTCGCGGGCCAGCCATTGGAAGCTTTGGCCCGTCTGGCGGCTTGATGCCTCGCCAGCTGTGGTCAATGGGATGGTGAATGTTTGTGCCCCGACTCAATCAGTCAGTGATGGACAGCTCCGGGGGGCCCGCTAAATGAAATGGCCTTACCTTGCCTTGTACAGGGTCGGGTCACGCATGGGGGAGCAAATCAAATCAAGTCAAGTCACGTCAGGTTGTGGTGTTGTGGTGGTTTTCTATTTTTCGTGGTAGGTATTAATATTTAGCCCTCCATTCCAGCTGCCCTTTTCTCTTCCTGCCCTTCCCTCCCTCCCTCTTCTTTCCGAAACATCTTCTCCTTCCCGCCCAGAGCTTTCCAACCAACTTCTTTCTTCACTCGTTTTCCACAGCTCTCTCTCGTTACTGCGGCGTCTTTTCGCTTCTTCCTTCTTTCCCTTCTTCGTCTTTTTCGTTAGCCAATCTATCGTATAATTCTCGGACTCGACTCGATTCAGCTCCCTTCCACTCTTTACAGAGACTCATCCATCTATCCATACGTTTTGCCTGCGCTCATCTGCCGGCAATTTATCCATTTGTGCCATTTCACCATTCATCCATCAGCGATTGGCGTCACCATGAAGGGACTCGCTCTTCTCTCAGCCGTTGCCGGCCTCGGCGCCGTCATGGCTTCTCCCACCCCATCAAAGGACAGCCCTCCATCCAAGAGGGCCTCGCTGCCCGCGGTTTCGGCCTCTGGAAATGGTTAGTAAAATTGCATAATTCATTTGACCAGAATACACTGCTGACATACTGAATTCTGTAGCTTTCTGGGCTGATGGCAAGCGCTTCTACCTCCGTGGTATTGACTACCAACCTGGTGGTGCTGCGGCCAACGAGGATCCTCTCGCTGACCCCAAGACCTGCCTCCGAGATATTAAGAACTTCCAGGACCTTGGCGTCAACACCATTCGTGTTTACGCTGTCGACAACTCCAAGGATCACGACCAGTGCATGAACGCCCTCGCCGATGCCGGCATCTACTTGGTTCTTGACGTCAACAACCCAGGCTACTCCATCAACCGTCTTAAGCCCGGACCCTCCTACAACACCATGTATCTTCAGAGCGTTTTTGCTACTGTTGAGATGTTTGCCAAGTACGACAACACGCTGGCCTTCTTCTCTGGCAACGAGGTCATCAACGACGAGCCTGGAACTGACAAGTCTGCTCCCTATGTCAAGGCTGTCACTCGTGATATGAAGAACTACATCAACTCTCGAGGACTCCGCAAGGTCCCCGTTGGATACTCCGCCGCCGACGTTTCCTCCAACCGCATGCAGACGGCCATGTACATGAACTGTGGTAGTGATGATGAGCGATCTGATTTCTTTGCCTTTAATGATTACTCTTGGTGCAACAGCGACTTCAAGACCTCTGGTTGGGACCAAAAGGTTAAGAATTTTACCGACTACGGCATTCCTATCTTGTATGTGCACTATCCCTTTTGTTCTTTCACAGAATGCTAACATGTTTCCCAGCTTGTCCGAGTGGGGTTGTATCAAGAACCGCCCTCGCAAGTTTGAGGAGCTGTCTGCCCTGATGAGCTCGCAGATGAGCGAAGTCTACTCCGGTGGCATCATGTACGAATACTCCAAGGAGGACAACGACTATGGAATTGTCACTATCAAGGGTGACTCCATCTCCAAGTCGGACGAGTACAACCTTTTCAAGAGTGCCTTGGCTGATAACCCGACTCCTACCGGTTCCGGCGGCGCTGCCAGCTCTAGTCACGCTGCCAAGTGCCCGCCCAAGGACTCTACCTGGAATGTCGACCCCAGCCTGATCCCCGAAATGCCTGAAGCTGCCAACAAGTTCATGAAGAAGGGTGCTGGTTCCGGTCCTGGTCTTGGCGGCGATGGCTCTCAGAACGCCGCTGATAGCGGTACCGCAACGGCTAGTGTAACGGGCGGTACGGCTTCTCCTACCAGCACATCCGGGTCTGCCTCCGAGACGGAATCCGACAGCGCTGCTGGCTCCTTCTCCCATAGTCCTCTGGACAAGGCACCATTCATCGTGTCTGGCCTGACTCTGGCCTTCACCCTGTTCGGCACCCTTCTTCTCTAAAGGTGTAAATCTTCATCGATTTGAAACAGTTTGACGTTCTCTCTTCTTTTGGTATTGATGGGGCATTTTCAACCCGGCGATTAGACTATGATGCCCTGGTGTACGATAGAAATGGAATTCGGGATGGCCGTAATGTAAAGGCTAACAACAGTGTCTGGCTCTGGAAAGACTAGACAGGGGCGGGAAGAATGATAATCTTACAGTTTAGGCTTTGGAGCCATTGTTTATACGTGCATCGTCTTCTATTTCTTTTAATCATTTTTGGTCACCTGTGTTGCGATCGTTGTGAAGTCCCTATGATAAAGACTGTAATTCCCAAAGCTACACTGATTTTAGGCGGTATGTGGCAATCTGAGAGGCTCGGAGAATAACATGGGCAACTATTCAACCTCATTGGACGATATCACATCAACAGGGACTTAGGTACGTACTGCTGTCGCAGCCTCATAGAGCCGCAAACTGTCAATGTCGGGCTGCGTCTTCCCCTCTGCATCTCACGCCTCATTACATTGAGCTCCTCCCAATACTGTCGAGAAAAAATGGAGAACCATCGAAATTTCTCAGGGAATACTCTTGGAAACAATGCGACTGTCAACCAAGGCAATTTCGCCCAGATTACAGTTAATACCAGTATTGTCTCTATATCGCCTACAATCAGGCATTAGCTTACCGATGGCACAGATACGTCCAACGCGGACAAGTCATTTCTCCAAGAGATCAGCAAAACGGATCCTTTCTACGATAAAAAACGGATTCTAACCCTGAAGGGCCCCCTTTTATGGGAGTCGTTTAGTTGGATCTTGAGACATCAACAGTTCAACGAATGGCGCCATACAAAACAGAGTGGTGTTTTGTGGATTAAAGGGGATCGTGGAAAAGGCAAAACAATGCTGCTTTGTGGCATCGTCGAAGATTTTGAACAAAATTCTCAAAGCGAAAATCTAAGCTACTTCTTCTGTCAAGCTACAGACTACAGAATCAACACCGCTGCAGCCGTTGTCGGCGGACTGATCAAATCGCTGCTCAAGGGACACCCGAGACTTCTCTCCCGCGTTCGAGAGAACTATGAAGATAAACTCAAGGATCAGCTAGATGGGGCCAACGCATTAGTCATTCTATGCGATATCTTTGAGAGCATCATCAATGATCCGGGGCTAAATGATGTCATCTGTGTTGTCGATGCCCTCGATGAGTGTATGAAAGACTGCCGACATCTTCTAAACCTTATTATCAAAACAAGCGGTCATGTCAAGTGGCTGCTGTCGAGTCGCAATGAGAAAGACATAGAAAAGATGCTCGACCAGGTTCCTCAAAAGCTTATCTTGGAATTAAAACAGAATGCCGAACGAATATCTACGTCCATTGATGTATATATCAGGCACCACATTCACGAAATTGAAGCCTTGAAAGATGATGAACAGCTTCAAGCAAAAGCACTTGACATACTAGGAAGCAAAGCCCAGGGCACCTTTTTATGGGTGGCACTTGTGGTTGAACAGCTACACAAAACAGACTGTTGGGACGTGGAAAACGTTCTGGAAGAGGTGCCGAAAGATCTACAGAGCCTCTATGGTCTAATATTAGATCGAACAGAGAAACTGGGGGAGAGAAGCAAAGAAATCTGCCGAGTCCTGCTTTCAATCGTCACCACGGCTAAGAGGCCTCTGCACCTTAGAGAGCTACTTGTTTTCATCAATTCGCATTGGAAAGGCGATAGGCACTTCAAAACTACATACGTACTACGTGATGTACGAGACATGGTGAAGACTTGTGGATCGATTCTATCTATACGAGATGATACCGTCTACTTTATTCACCAGTCAGCAAAGGATCACGTTGTGGAGAACGCGGCTGAGAGAATTTTCCCGATTCTACATCAACATTACAAAATGTTTGAAGCTTCGTTAGATGCTATGTCTGATGTCCTCGAGTACGACATATATGGATTGGAAGACCCCGCAATACATATAGACGCTATTCCCTTGAAAGACGTCGACTCTGATCCCTTGGCTTCCATAAGATATTGCTGCGTATTCTGGGTTGAGCATTTAGTCTCGGGTTACCAATTCGAAGGATTTGAACACAGCAAATACCTCAAAGACGACAAAAGACTTCACTCATTCTTCAAGGAAAAGTTTCTTTGTTGGATAGAATCGTTATCCCTCATGCGAAGCTTTTATCCACAGGCCCAGGATGCTCTTCAGAAATTCAAGGACCTCATTGAAAGCTATCGTGGCAATGGTAGCATTGGGAGCGAGGCTTTTCAAACTCCACAGTTGCAGAGAGAGAGCGAGACGCAAGGCCTTAAACAGTTCACTGATGATGGCTATGGGTTTGTGAGAAATTTTAGGGAACCCGTGGCTTATTGGCCCTTGCAGCTTTATTTTTCAGCCATAAGCTTTGAACAAGACAGCAGTAGCATCCGAAAGACTTTTGAGTGGACTGTACGTGAAAAATTCGGACCTTCGCCTACCCTCGCAAGCGTGCGACATGGCCAGTCCTCTTTCAGGCTGCAGGGCTCTTTCCGCGCTCATGAGGAACTGTCGCGAATCAATGCATCACGTTTTCTCAACTTTAAGTCATTGGGTTTCCATATGGACCCCTCATTTGATTTCTTTCCCGGCTCGTCATTGGTTTTCTCTCCCGACTCGTCATTGATAGGCCAAATGAGTGTCAATGAATCCACCTCAGTACTTAAATTCTGGAGAGCAGACTCAGGAGCTTTGGCATGCAGTTTTCCAATCAGCTCGAAAAGTAAATTCGCTTTCTCTCCCATCCCCGATGAATTCATATCAGTATCCCAAGATGGCATCATAAAAAGATGGAATATGGACATAAAATCCTGCATTGGAGAGCAATCTCTGGGTTTCGAAGATGCGAGCAAGGACCCAAACTTTCGTCCGGGACTCAATGTGGGAACATCCGGGCCTTGCAGGGAAAGCGTCGTCGCTTTGTCACCAAATGGAGATTTGGTAGCGTCGTGGTATTGCAAATTAACCCATAATATGCCAGGCTTGGTAAAGATCTGGAACACTGAAACGGCCTGTTGTGATAGTTCGTTTGAGCCTGACGAAGCACCACACCTGCATGCAGCCTTTTCACCAAATTCTCAGCTACTAGCCCTATCGTTCAATGACGGCGTTAGAGTGCACAATGCGAAGACAAGTGCAAAAGTTAAATATCTCATTAGTCCCGCTGAGAAAGCGGAGATTGTTGATGATTGGAAGAAACACTATAGCAGAGCTAAAAACCAAGAACACATTCGGTTTGCACCAAATTCCAAAGTCCTAGTTGTCCTGGTGTCGCCGGGGCATCTCTGTCTCTGGGATACCCATACATGGAAACTACTGCATAAGATTCAACTTCCGCAGCCATCCCTATCCCTCGGGAGTCTTGCTATCTCTCCCGATTCAGAGATGCTAGCCACGAGTTGGTATAATGAAACCATGCTCTGGAGTATCGACACGGGAGAATGCGTCGTCAAGATTCCTGTTGACTCTGTGTATATATCATTCGCCCCGAATTGGACAATGTCTTCTCTTCTAGCATTACAACAACACAGTGGCGTGATTCAAACCTGGTCCGTCAATATCAGCCAAACTGTAGGCCAACTGCAGCACGCTGATTACGTCTTTGACAACGTGACCGTGTCAGTAGACTCGAAATTCGTGGCTTCAAGACATGGACTTCGCAGAGAAATCTACGTATGGAGTGGAGATAATGGCCAATTGGTTCATGTGCTCAAAGGGGACTTTACAGGGAGTACGAGATTCTTTGAACCCTTGATCTTCTCGCCAGATTCTGAACTGTTGGCTCATTCTGGCAGGTCTGGTATTCATATTTGGAGTCTTGTCACAGGGGAGCTTGTTCGCCTACTTGAAGGCCAGGACGGCGGAGTATTTTTGTCACCAGCCTTCTCGAATGATCCAAAACATTTAGTTGCGAGCAACTTCGATGAGATATACATATGGCGCATAGACTCTGGCCAACTCATACACAAATACGAACTCCACATGAAATCTGACGCGAAAATGGGGAATGTAATTACTTCAATTTCCCCGAATTCAACACACGTATCAGCATTCTGGGATTCTGAACGACTGCAGGCGCGAATTTGGCACTTACACACGGGTAAGACCGTCATGATTAGACCTACTCAGGCCTTCCATGCGCGCCAAACTCCGTTTCCAAGTCTGTTAGGTAAAATGAAAACATGTTTTTCTTCGGATTCAGCCATTTTGGTCTCTGTTACGGAATCCATGGTCCAAATCTTTGGCGTTACTACGGGCGCCTGTTTGCAGGAATTTGCCCTAGAGGGCAATGAGCATCTACGACTACTGTCGTTTGATCCGACCAATGGCCGAATTCTCACTACTAAATCTGTCTTCTATAAAACTGCCTCATGGGAACAGTGGCAGACGTCTCCACGACTTGGCTACTCCTACGACCATCGTGTGGACAATGCCTTGGTTAACAGTGGCATATGGATTCTATTGGACGGGAAAAAGAGCTGCTATGTGCCAAGTAACTTTAGGCCCGGCTTAATAACCTGGCCTGGCAACACTACCAATGTGGCCATGACTGATTCTCTATTGGCAATTCTGAACGAATTGAGAGATGTGGTTATCATCAAGTTTCCCACTCGGCGTGAGGTACGACAACAAGTAACTGGGACTTTTGACGTTGCCCTAACGCTTCGAGGTATCGCTGGTAATGTCGATGGCTCTTATTCGGTTGCTCACACCCTATCAACGAGTAATTCTGACTTGAGCAACGCTAAAAGAAAGAGAAGAGAATCTGATGAACCTGACGTTGGGAGTCAAGCGAAGACTTTAGGGGGCCGGAGAAGTTTTTGGTCAGTGATTTAGTCACTGCTTTTGGCCCGATAATGATTTTCCAGGGAAGAAGTGCTTGAGCCATGACTAAGGGGGAAAGGAACAATGCGATATTTAGTAACGTTGGAGTAGGGGGTTGCAAGAGCGAAAAGGATAAGGATTCTTCCAAAGAATACTGTTCTACGTAGCGAGTAGATGCAAGCAATTGACAATGTGATATTAAATGTAATGGACTGACTGTATGAGTATATGCCAGTATGAATCTCACGATCAGAAGCCGCGTTCCCCAGATTCGGCGATTGGTGCTGGCCCCACTTTGGAGCTGTGCCTCGGCTTGGTTGGAGTTACTGTGATAGGACAATGCTCTACCAAGGTTCTAGGTAGCCAAGTAAGCCGAGATGCTTTCAACAACTTTCACGATTCCTCTGAACTCTTCATTTCGTCTTCAGCCGGATTGGCATTGACTGTCTGTGACTTTTTTCTGTTTACTAATCGCCAAATTACTTCTTATATCCACGACTGAATCATCTTCTGGACCATTCATCTGCCATCTCATCCGCCAAACAATCCACAGCCAGCGCAAAGCATCAAACCACATCAAACACTCAAGATGGCCTCATCATCATCGTCATCCGGGGCAGGATCCCCCCTCGCCGCTTACTCCGCCTACAAGTTCTTCACCGTCACCTCCCCCAAGCCCTTCGTGGCGCACGTGCAGATCCAGCGCCCGGACAAGCTCAACGCCTTCTCCGAGGCCATGTGGCTCGAGTTTGGGCGCGTCTTCCAGCAGCTGAGCGCCGATGCCGACGTGCGCGCCGTCGTGCTGAGCGGAGCGGGCGACAAGGCTTTCACGGCTGGCCTGGATGTGCAGTCGGCGTCGCAGGACTCGACGCTCATGTCGGACCAGAAGGATCCGGCGAGGAAGGCCAAGGGCATGAGGGCGCAGATTGAGGAGTTCCAGGCCTCCATCGGGGCCATGGAGAAGTGCGAGAAGCGTAAGTTTTTTTAATGTCTTGTTTTGTTTGGAAAAGAGCTTGTTATTTGAATCTATCTGGAAAGTATTATCTAACATGTGATTCTACAGCCGTCATTGCCGCCATGCACGGCATCGCCCTTGGCCTCGCCATCGACATTTCCTGCACCGCCGATATCCGCATTTGCGCCTCCAACACCCGCTTTGCCGTCAAGGAGGTCGACATCGGCCTCGCTGCTGACATCGGCACGCTTGCTCGTCTCCCCAAGATCGTGGGATCCACGTCCTGGGTCAAGGATGTGTGCCTGACGGCCCGCGATTTTTCTGCACAGGAAGCTCTCGCAGTGGGTTTCGTGAGCCAAGTGCACGAAGGCAAGGAGAAGACGGTGCAGGTGGCCATTGACCTTGCGGCCAATATCGCAGAGAAGAGCCCCGTGGCAGTGCAGGGCACCAAGGAGCTGTTGAACCACGCGAGAGATCACAGCACTGTGGACACTCTGCGGTATACGCAACTGTGGAATTCGGTGGCGTTACAGGGAGCGGATTTCCCCGCGGCGATATTGAGTGTGTTGAAGAAGCAGAAGCCGACGTTTGCCAAGTTGTAAGGTGTTCGGCCGACTGAGGATGGGAACGTTGTTTGGATATTAAAGTAGTGGCGGTATGTACAATGGCTAGAATAGACCGCCTGGTAATGCACGAATTTTGTCTAGTGAAACAAACAGTTTATATCGGTAAATCGGCGATCTAGTATGGATAAGTGATGCTCGTGAGGTTTGTCGGTACTCGGTAAAGCGTGGGTTACTCGGAACCGGACTCGTCGACGGGAGGAAGATTCTCCTTGAGGCGCTGTGAAAGGTAACATGTGAGCTGAAGCAAACAAGCCTGAAGGTAAGGAAATAGGTGCCGAGAGATGTTTTAACGTACGTCTTCGAGCTTCTGTTTGAGAAGGTGAACCATATTTTCCTTGACGACGACACGCTCCTCGTCCAGGTCTTCGATGATAAAGTCGTGGTTAACGCTGTCGATGTTGACGATGATGGACTTGATGGAAGGATCACACTCGATCAGGACGCCTAGGCGCACGTTAGTGATGAACGGAGAGTGTTGTGAAGAGAACGAGAGAGGGCGTAAGGGTACCTCTGATGGCACGAGGCATGATGGGCAATTGGTGGTGATTTGGTCGACGGTACGGAGTATTGATGGATGATTTGCGGATGTGAACTGATGCAAGGTTGCGCTAAAGTGATGATGTCCAGTGGCGGATTTGAAGACCTGCCTCAGGTTCGACTTATGCCAAAGGCCTTCAAGTTGAGCTACAGGGCTCCAGTCTGCGGCTTTAGCGTCCGGCAGGCGGGCGGGTGGACCTCAACTTTGACGGTTCCGGGCCAGCGCCTCCGGTGTCACTGAGGAGTGGAGAGAAGTCGAACTCGATATAACAGTAGGTAGAGATCTATTTAATCTATACCGATATATAAAAAGGTGTGTCGTTATTGAACAAAGTATGATAAAATCTGCCGCCAAACAGAAACAATCATTTGTCTTCGACGCCCGTAATCGTATTCCAAATCACATCACAGCTAGTCCACGGCGCCACCCCCCTCGGTATCACTCTGCCGTCCACGCTCCCCGCACTTTGGCCTGGAACCAAGCAATATAATCTTCATCCCAGACACCAACCATTCGATCTATGTACTAATAAAGAGGGGGCCCAAAACTGCTCCAAAACTGACAAAACAGACACGTAATGCCACTAGTTTTGTCTCTATCTGCTCCCGGCAGGCACACCACCACGGATAACTGGGGCCGTGGAAAGCCACTCCCTCCCAGTCTTTCTGCGACGATCTGCTCATGGCATTTTACCATTTGTGCCTCCACGGCCGGGCCACGGATGGATTGGGAGCTCCGGGGATGCTGAAAGCGGGTTGGGGGCGAGTGACGTCTGCGAAAGAGGTTGCCCCGAGTACATGTAGTTTTATTCATAAGGTTCCGTCACTTCTAGGGCGAGCGGGATTGTGTTTTGCTTCTACTTTTTGCGACGCTCTCTCTCTCTCTTACATGCTTTGCTGTGCCTGTTGTCTTTGCGCACCATTACATCCATCGTTTGGATAAGCCTCGTTTTTGTCTGTCTTGTTTAAGTCTCACAGTAGAGTTTGCGACTCTACATTCTTGAGCTATATCCTATACGAAGCCATTTAAACAGCCCCCCAAGCTTGAGGCCGAACATCGACGCAAGGCGCATTTACGCGTACATGTACTGACGAGCCCATCACCACCATCATGAGTACGGACCAGCCAACATCGACGCGGCCCTTGACTTATGTTATCATCCCTCTCCTCGCCATATTCGTCGTCTGCTCAGCATTCTTGTTTTTTCACATACGACGTCGCCGTCGCCGTCTCGTCCCCGCTGACGGCTGGGCTCGCGGGCGATGGGTCACACGGGATGGGACCATCATGTTCATCCCACGGCACTACAGACGGAATCCATGGGGCGGGTTTCACTCTTCAGAAGGCCTCAACGAGCTGGGAGAAGCGCCGCCTCCGTACAAGTTCAAGGTCATCACGACAGAAGAAAGCGAAGCTGCAGCGGGAGCTGGAAGGCCAACGGAGCTGAGAGACTTGGAGGAGGGGAGGAGGCCGCCGGAGTATATCGCGGAGCCACCGCCGGCGGTCACGACTGAGTCGAGGAGGACGGTAGTGTAAGGGAGGCTTTTGGGGGTGGTCATAGCTGATGTAAATTGGAAGTTGTCTCTCTATGGACTTGAGGCGTGTATGGTGTGAATCTTGAATTTTGGGTTGATTTTATGTTTCATGGCAAGCAGATGCGTTTCGGAGTACTTGGATAGTATGCCGGATATCAATGTTTAGCAATTATTTCCTTATGACTGATGAATTATATCTGTGGATCTTCCCGACTCTTTTAGCCCTTTCAAGTATTAGCGAGAGACTCAAAGATGTCTTTCGGAAAGAATTCCCGGCGAGTGGTCTGATCAGGATTCAGTTTCTCCTCATCCGAGACATGGACCCCTTGGCTATAATAATGGAGCTGGCAAGACAGGTTATCTAACAACACCCCCAACGACTACACAAAGTTTAAGCGTTGAAGTAGGGCTAATATCGCTATATCTCTCCAGTATCATATATCACTTTAGATTCGAGTCACGGGATAGTAGAAAGTCATCTTGGGTGGACGAACAACTTATCTGATCCCTGAGAGTACCTGCTTTGTTCAACACTACTAGGTATGCATCTCATAACTACATGTATAACGGTCATTCGTTTAGAAAGTTAGAATGAATTATTTTGTCTCTCGAATGGTATTGCCTCAGGTCGCTCTAGTTGATGCTTCACAAGCTTCGTGTCGGAGGAACTCGTACAGAATATCTGCTCGTTGCCGAAGGCGATAGTGGATGAGACACACAAACGAGCCTAGCCGGTGTCACGGGTTAATGCACCTATCCATATGACCACCGTTTTTTTCTTTATCATTCCTGTATTCTTGTGCTCGCACAGTGGTACGCATGTGCCGTTTAGCCAAGGACGGCATGTGCGAGTAGTCACACGTCCCTGGCGTGCGCGGGAGGATGATGAAAAAAGAAAAGACTAATGTGTTGTAAGAAGCCATGTTTGCTGGGGAAAACCATGCATCCAGCTAGCATTGAGACCGGATACATATCGACTACGTTGGGGGCCATCTGTGTGTGTTAGACGGCGTTATGGGCCACAAAAGGCTCCCTGTTATCCTATCAAATAAATTCAAGTCCACACCAGAGGTATAACATAGTCACGGCAGTTCCGTAGCAAGTGAATGAAAGCGCGCTCGGCAGTGAGCATGAGCCATAGACGTTAAGAAGTTGGCCCGAGGCTCAGCCCTATCCATCTACTTAAAACAGATGAGAAGTGACAGGGCCCGGCAGTGTCTACATGGATACGCGCGCAATCGGTAACGAAAGACGAACTGACGATGCACGAAGATGGAGTTGATGTTTCGAAGCACGATCGAGCGGGTGCGAGTCCAGATTTCCGTGCGTGTACCTGTAAGCTAATAAGCGCTGCGGCATGAAGCATTGAGCCCATGCATATCACCTGCTGTAGGTACAGGAAATTCCCACTCCAGCCCTTCCATGAGGATTTTCTGGTTCCTGTCCCTTGTCAGTTCAAAGTGCGGTTTGGTTACCCTGCCAGCGTCAACGAGAGACGAGACGGCTGGGCCGATGCTCTGGTCAATCAGCCGCCTGGGATCATTGTTTTGGGCGGGTCTGGAGCTCGTCAATGATATCAAGCGGTGGAAAGATAAGCGGGACTGCAAAATGGCCCAGTAAGACAAAATGATTCCTATCTAGTACAGTACCTGGCAAGGAAGATGCATCTCTGCTGAGGTTGGATTTCTGTTTGCTTCATCATCTTGCAAGATCTAGGAGATATTGGTACGGAGTACATGTAGTCATTCAGATTTACTTTGATGAAATTTGATTGATATATCTTTCCACGGAGTAAACAACCAACTTAATCCATTAGTAACTTTGCAGAGCTTCCACTCTGGCAGTCCCGCTTATTTTTGTCTTTTCCATGTTCCATGTGCCAGGGGGTGGATGCGGTGCGGCTTGGGGAAGAAGAGATGGCTGGCCAAGCCCGGAGTACAGCTGCAGTACCTGAGAGGGACATCCGCGTGCCTTGACGTGCAAGCACTAGAGCATGCAGATGAGGGAATAAGCTGGAGCTGAGGCCCGAGAAACAGGCGCGGGCATCAATCACAGCAATCGGCATCAGATGTTGGGCGTCAACGGACATGACACAGACGAGGCGGGTGTGTGCGTGCGTTGTTCTGTCTCGGTAGACCGTTCAAGCATCCATGGATGGACTTTCAAGGTTACCTGGGCCGCCGTCAGCTCCGATTCGAGCTCTGAGCTCCCCTTTTCCCACGCTGACTGGCTGTGTGGTAGCGCAGGCTCGTGCAAATGACGGCGCTGTGCCACCAGCCTCTTCCTTTTTTTCTTTCTTTCTTCCACTCTTTTTTCGTCCCCAGCGTTTGATTTCTATTACTGCGCCACCCGCCTATCAGACGCAAGGGGTTCCGGACTGGCAGACAGAGAGTGGAAACAACTTGAACCTGACAAGAAGGGGACGAAGAAATCGAGTGGCTGGTGGATGGTGCAAATCTCATCCACTGTTCAGCTGTTAGCTTACCACATAGACTTGTAACCGTGCATGTACCGTTGAGGTACCCTGCTCGTGCCACGCCAGAGAGCCCTGTGCTAGAAGGTCTCTCCAGGCCCTCTAGGCCCTGCTGGGACAAGTTTAGTGCTCAGCTAGCACCCGTCCAGCGGCACCACCAGCGGCACCACCCTCCCCCCTGCCGGCCCAAGCGCCATTGGACCAGACACGCATCGGCGCCAACTCATCAAGCAGAGGCCCCAGCCCGCTTCGGGACAATAACAAGGCCTCAACCATCTCTCTCCTCTTCCTTCGCCCGCATCGCATTTGCCCTGCGCCCCCTCGTCTCTCTCTCGCAAAAAAAAGAAGGGGGGTCAAAGAGAACAAGACAAGACCTTCTTTTGGGAGCCTCACCAGGCCAGACCTGCCCGGACCGCGCCAGACACAGACGCTGCCTCTCGCTCCCCCACATCTTCGCATCCAAGCGCATTTGCATCCATCTCCATCTCCATCTCACCGACAGCCATCCACAGAGCCCAATCCCTCAGCTGTACATACTGGACTCGACACCCGCCGCATTGCCTGTACATTACCCGTTCAGTACCTACAGCTCACAGCCTGGCCCTGCAGCAACTCCCCTGACTCTGCAGCGTTCTTCTGGCTGTCCTGTCTGTCGTTTGTGAGCGACAGCCTCTTTACCGCTCTGGGCCCTCTTCCTTTTCGGTGCCTGAGCCTGAGCTTCGCCACCTGGTACAACTAACTGCCCTGCCCTCCCCAATTCCGCTTTCTCCTCTTTGGTTCCTGTGAGTTTGTTTCCTCCAACCCCCCCTGTGTCGGGTCCATCTTGAGTGGTCGAGTGGGAGATTCGACTTTGCCTTCTCTTCATCATCTCGTCGTTCCCTTTGTCTGACTGACGTCGCTCTCAAGGCGCCCTACCTTACCCATTCTTCGCTGTAGCGTTGGGCCTTGTTCCGGATGTCTGCATAAAATTTATCTGTTTTAATCTCTTACTTGACCTTGAATATTCCCTCTCTTCTTCTACTACCAGTCGCCAGCAGTCGGCCCTTGGGAGACTCTCGCCTGCTTCATCTACGCCACTGGTCGCGCAACGAGTAGAGGGCAAGGGTACCGATTTGCCCCCGTACCCAAGATGAGCACCGTTAGTAGGAAGAGCCTTCCATTGCCTGCGCCGACCGAGACCGACGAGACGACCACTCCCACGGAGCTGACCGCCGACATCTCCAAGCTTGGCGATGAGAAATCGGGCTACTCGCTACAAGATGATGGCCCTACAGGCACCATCAGCAGTCGCGGCTACCGAAGCCATCAGCGCTCTCAGACATCTGTGCTGATTGAGTATTTCGAAGGCAGCAGAACCGGGAGCTCGACCAGCCGCAAGCCCAGCGTACGAGTGCGGCTCACCCCCTCCTCCTCCAAAAGGGGCAAAAGGGATCATAGCATCAAAGTGACGGAGACGAAAACTTCCCGCAAAACTTCGCTGACTCGACGCATCCCTCTGGAAGATGGGATCCCGTCGCGTGAGCTTGAGGTACCTGGGGTCGACGCCGACGGTCATAGCGTGACGTCGTATGCATCGGCCACTGAAGAGTCTACCGTCTCACGGAATCCCATCGACATAGAGATCACACAGGAAAAACAGCAGCCGCAGCGACGCCGCCGCCCTGCCAGTCCTCTTATTCCGACTAGCGAGAGAGAATCTTACCCCCCCGCCAATGGATCGGAGATTTCTGCCATCGCCACAGACAGCTTCTTGGATGGCTCCGGACCTGGAGGGGATCTAGGCTCGGGTGAGCACCTGGACGAAACTTTGGATGATACCCGGGCTACCAAAACTCGTTCCAAAGATCGTTCTTCCAAATCTTCATCGGATAAACCCAAGGACAAGGAGCGAAAGCGACGATCAAAGAGTCGGAGCATTAGCGAGCTTCCAACCGAGGAGACATACACCTCCTCCCGGCGTCGCTCCAGTCGAAGTCGCCACTCGGAGTCACACGTACCTCAAATTCCTGCCGCCGATTCAAGTGTCCTGTCGTCAAACCTGGCCCCAAGCCATCGCTCCATGGACACCCGCTCCATGCGCTCCGGAGCATCGAAATCTTCAATCAACAACCCCAAGCTACTAGAAACCGTCGAAGATGCCATTCGGAGATTAATTTTGCCAGAATTGAGTGCCCTCAAGCGAGAGCAGAGCAAACGGGAAGGCCGAGAACGACGCGCCTCCTTTACTTCCACAGGCACTTCTGCCTCAAGAGAGGACATCACAGTAGACCGCAGGCGGTCTGCAAGTCAGAGACCCGAGTCGATAAGAGACAAGGACGCCCTCAAGGAGAATTCTAAGCCCAAAGAAAGACGGAATCGTGAGGCTCGTCACGACTACGACGACTTGCACAGCCCCAGCCTGGATTCCATTGAGGCAGATTACCGTCTCCACGATGACGGCAACACGCCAAAGAGAAGTGGTAACCTGGCCAAGGCTGCGCTCGCTGGCGCCACTGGCGCGGCAGCAGCTAAAGCATTGTCCAGCGGAACAGATGATCATTCAGAGGCTGGCGAGAAGAGGCATCGCGAGAGACGCAGAAGGAGAACAGAGTCTAGAGCGAGAAGCCAAAGCCTAGGCCGTGAACGATATGCGGAAGAATATGACGATGAGGAAGAGCCGCCGCCCGCGCCGCCAATGCCGCTCATGAGCGAGATTAACCCGTCGGAGATGACACGAACTTCAATCTTGTCTGCCGAATCCGATGGACCAATGTCAGCCACTGAAGAAATTGCTCCTTTGGGAAGCCAGCAACGGGAGATGGCCTCGCCGTCGTCCACGCCAACCCCTTCCAGAACACCCACAAACGTTGACCAAGCACTTGGCAGGAGCCACGCCAATGTATCGCACGGCGACTTGACTGCTCTACCACGTGGTAAGAAGGAGTATAACCAGTCCATTGAATATGAGACGGACGAGTTTGGCAACAAGATCCCCGTCCACTATGACAATTACGACGGCAGCCCTCGTGATGTTGACCAAGGCGAATACCCAGATGACGGATACGAAGATGCCTACTACAATACACAGGATGTTCCCCCTCCTCTGAAATACGTCCCATATCAGGCTGGCGCGCGTGGCCTAAGCCCGATCCCCAGCGTGTCTGGTTTCACAGAGGTTGATGGGGAGACGCCGAATAGGAACTCCAGAGGCGAAAACTATTCGTCCATCAAGTCTCGTGGCTCATTGCAGTCGCTTGAGTCTGTCCCGAGTAACTTGAGGAGCAGGGAATTTGATCTTGCGTCATCGGCAGCCGGTGGGAATACTATCTACTCGGAAGATTCCCAGCTCGGACAGACGGCTGCAGGAAAGCCTGTCCGCGGCATTGCTGCCAACCCTAACATCATTCACCCCGTCATTGCGGCCGAGTCTGCCGTGGCCTCATTGATTGGTGAGTCGATGCTTGATCAATCCGTCTTGACAGGTGTATACAGCGGGGCTGGAGACTCCAACCTCTCTTACGATGAGCGATCCAAGCTCCAGAGCAGCCGTGATGTGAGCCCAGACAAATATTCTGGCATGAACCGCCAAGAGTACGACGATGACCGACAGGCGACTCCTGGCCAATCGCATGACTACATGGAGTATGAGCTTGATGAGAATGGACGCAAGGTGCCTCGCACCAAGTACCGCCAATCCCCTACCTCATCCGAGGCTGCCATCACCGCGGGTGCCGTTGGTGCTGCCGCCGCCGCTCTTAAGGCGGCCCAGGAGAGAAAACAAGCCACCGTTGAGGATGCTGCCGAGGGCGACTTTGAGCCGGCCGGAGTGTTCCGCAACAAGTCGTTCAAGGAGCGCGCGATGGAGGGCTGGAAGCCGCGAAACACCCCCACTCATAGCCTGGACAGGCTTGACTACGAAGCCGCTCCCCCAATGGAAGCTAGCAGTGTTCCTGATCAAGATCATCCTATCCCTGAGGTTGGCTACATTGATGATGATTTACAGACCAACCCGTCAATCCTGCAAGATGAGATTGCCCCTGGTATGTGGTCTGGCAAGGCCACTCCTACAGAATATGGACAGGTTATTCCCAAATCCCAGTCTGATGAGGAAATGCGAGATGCTCATCTTGACGATGCTGCCCGCCTTAGTAGGGAGCCAAGCCAGGAGGACGAGTGGCGGAGAACATCAGCTGAGCGGAAGCGCGATACTCTGCTCACGAACCCGTACGAAGATGCCAGCCCGGTTGCGAACCCGGCGCTCAACGACCACCTGCTTGGCTCTCGTGGTCTCGGTTTTAGCACTGGCAGCCCGGGTTTCAAGTACGACGAGGGATACATGTCCAACGGCCCCAACCGAACGCCAGATGTCGAGCCCAAGGGCAAGGCAATCCAAATGGCTGGCCCGTCAAACTACATGGCTGGTGGAGATCCCTTCTACGGATCTCAGGATAACAACCGCGCTCTCAGTGGCATGTCTCAAGGCATGGCCTCGCCATTCTATGATGCCTCTACGGGCGGCGGCATCGAGCGTATCGAAAACAAGGACATTGTTGCCTTGATGCAACACCTCATGGTTCGTGATGCACAGCGAAGTGCCCGCGACACGGAGATTGTCGCGCTGCTCATGAACGCTGCGATTGAGATGCGCAACTCGTTCCGCGATCTGAAGGAGCTGGTTCAGGACACTGGAGACGATGTCATCTTTGCTAATTCCGAAAACACTGATAAGCTTCAGAAGGCCATCAACGGGCCTCGACCTTACCCCGGCCCCCGTTCTGTGCAGAGCGGCTCCATCGGTGGCACCACCATGGACGACGTCACTGTCAAGAAGAAGGCTCTGTGGAAACGAGCCCTCCAAGGCCTCAGCGCCAAGGGCACCAACGATCTCACTCGCATTGAGGACATGCTGATGCAGCTCCTCGGAGAGGTGGACGTTCTCAAGACACAGACGGCGCAGCCCATCTCCGCCAGGGTCTCTACCAGCGGAGCGGGACAGTCTTTTGACAATCTCCAGCCAGAGGGACAGTATGAGCACGACAAAGGCTATGAGCCCGAAGGCAACTCAACCACGAGCCATGGCAGCCAATCGCAGGGGCAGCGCAAGTTCTCAGATCATCGCATCGACACCGTACCCGAACACGAGGATGAGTACGAGTATGATCACCCTACTCCGACAGCAGAGCGAACTCAAATCATCCCTCCGATGAGCCCCATGGACCGTGAGGTGCATCGTGCCGGATCGCTCCCAACAGATGGTGCGGCACCAGTCTCTGACCAGGGGTATGACCAGCCGCACAGCGCTGATAACACGCCTCGTAGCGACAAGGGAAGGAAAGGCAAGTCGGGAAGCAAGAGCTGGTTCCCCAAGATCTCCCGCTGGTCTGGAACGACGGCATCTACCGTGAGCAAGGCGCTGCGCGGAAACCCCAAGAAGGATGGCGAGGATGATGTGCTGCAGTCCCGATCAGGGTCCAGCATGGCTTCGCGCGATGATCTCTACCCTCTCGACACGTATGGCGATGACAGACTCCACTCCGGGTATCTACCTGAGGGAGGACGCCTTGCTCCGCCCCACGAGATTCACGAATCGTCAGCACCCATTGTGCCGACCTTTGCTACGCCAGAGGATCCCAAATACAAGGCTCACCGCAACTCGCTCAACTTGATGCACCCTCAGCCCAGAACAGGACAGACGGAGCGCTTCCGAACCGCCCTGGAGCATTCTGCTCAAGACTTTGATGCCCCAGCGACGCCTCGGTCCGCTGACTGGGCAGGCTCTATGAACAGCCTTAACCGCCTCAATGGCACCGCTGCCGGGCGCTACGGCAACGAGGGCGGAGATTACTGGCCTGCCGCTCCTCCTCAGCAGCAAAACACTGGTCCGGCTCGGCCACCCAAGGAGCCCATCAACTCATCTCAGCAGACGCCGCCCAGATCTACGCGAGTCTCGAACCTGCAAAAGGGCAGCCCCATGGGCCCTCAGAGCTACGAAAGTGGCTACGCAAGCGGCACCGGCACACACTCCAGCCAATACAATAGCATGAGCCCCAAGCCGGAGAACAAGAACTTGAACGCTGCCCTTGGCGTGCCATCACGCAGGCCTAGTGGCCCCAGAGCGATGACACCCAAGAATCCAGATGACGACGCAGCCCGAGAGGACAGGCGGAGAAAGAGAGGTACGTTGTGACGAAGCTATGGCACTCATTACTTTTCAGCCTACTGACTTGTTTGACCTGTAGACACATTCGGCAGCATGACAAGCCAGAACACCCAAGAAACGGATACGTTTTAGGTGAAGTCGTGCCGTTGTTTTGGTCCTCGGCCTGTTGCTTCACAATTCGATGATACAAACGAAAGAAAAGGGGGATGAGCATTGAATTTTTTTGGTTTTCTTTTTTTCTTTTTCTCTCTTCCACCCCTTTTGCGTTTGGCTCTCTGTATGTGCCACACTACACAATACCCGTAAAAATGATCATTTCCGTTTTACCCGAAAAGGACAAGAAACAAATAGAAAATGACTCGAAAAACAGCAAAGGGGGGAAAGGGTGTGGACGAAGGGGAGGGTTTACCTTGCCTAGCCCAAAAGACAACTCACCACACGCTACTGCGAGTGGAAAAGCAAGGAGAGGTTGGAGAGGGCTAGACATGCAAGGCAACTTGGGGGGAATACTACATAATGTTATGGAATCGCTTCGGTGATAGGAAGGATATATGGGACACGAAGGACGCAATGGATTTCGAGGGTTTTTTGTTTGCTTTGCGAGAGACTATATCTGCGCGTGAGCTGTGTTTTGGCCAGCTCCGTTTGTTGTTGTTTGCTTTATCCCCCCCAAGCCACCCCCATGAGTTTTTGTATTTTTGATTCTTCATTCTTGACGACGACATGACATGAACATTTTGATTCTTAGAGCGAAGCGAGGGGCATTATTCTGCGCTGGTCTTGATCTGGATGATGCATAGCTGGCATTTGAAGATACGGACGATGGAGATGGAGGAAGCTTTTCTCGGCCTTTTGTTCTGTGTGAATGGCGAGTTTTAGCTGGGCGTAGTTTAGTGCGTTTGTTTGGTGATGTGAATGAAGCACGATTGGCATGGAGGGATTTCTATGCTTGACTTGATCTTGATGTGTGTGAATGTGTGAATTTGTATGTGTGTCTGAGTTTAAGTGGTGCTTGATATGAAATTACGACACGTTGTGAGACTGTCAGCATGTTGTCTCAGTTCTAGCGTTATGCAAGGAGTATTAGACGATGCTGCTTTCTCTTCTCTTCTCCTAGCTTCTCATTTCTCCTCTACTTTTTTCTTTCCAAAATAGAGGCTAATTAATGCGCCTTGTTGACCGTTCTTTCGTTTCGTGTATTACTGTCCTCTCTCTGTCTCACGCCCGCCTTACGTGAAACCTCTTAGCCCGCTAAATAATAGAGTACGAGTAGTAGTCGGAAAACTGACTGACTGTATCGTCGGGATCGTGTATGACAGGCTTACCAGAGATTTTCCCCACCTTGTCTCTCTCTCTTCCCCCACGGGATGATTCAGGCTAGTTTTATTCGTTGTCTTATTCTTTGACTGCGGAAGCCGTTCCGGATTTTTTCTCCTTTTTCTATATCCTTTATTGTGAATTTCTTTATTTTCTTATTGATAAAGGATCTGTGAGGAATGAAATGTATTTGTCGTTGAGATTAGTTGTTGTTTAAAGAGAGTGTGAACATATCGGCACTTGAACCCAAGAGCCGGACTTTCGTTTTTACTAATACCTGCGAGATCCGGACTCATCTTCATCCCACCCCAAAAACTCCACTAGCAACGGACATTTCTTATACACTGCCCTTTTTATCTTTCTCTCTCATTCCTCCTTTCCATTTTCACTCACTTTGATTTAAGTCTATGAAGAATTTTTATAGAGATTAGATTAAAGGCTGCAAATGGCGGAAGCCGTAGCTTCTTCGCCGCCCGTCGCGGTGCAGCAGAATCAGAACCAGAAACCTGCGACATCGGCCAAGCGCGACTACAAGGGCTTTGTCGCAGGCGTCTTCAGCGGAATCGCAAAGCTAACAGGTATGTTATTTTCTTTTTAAACTCATGAATTGCTTCTCTCATGCTAATTAAAATAAATCAGTCGGCCACCCCTTCGACACAGTCAAGGTCCGCCTCCAAACGACGCAGGCATCGCGCTTCAGCGGCCCGCTGCAGTGCGTCCTGCAGACGGTGCGCAATGAGGGTGTCACGGGCCTGTACAAGGGCGCGACGCCGCCGCTGGTCGGGTGGATGTTCATGGACTCTGTCATGTTGGGCTCGCTCAACGTCTACAGGCGGCTGATGGCGCAGCACGTCTTTGGGGTGGACTCGTGGACGCCTGGGGCGGGATCGGGGGCGACGGGGCTTGGGTTTGGGAGTCTGATGAGGGTATTATCTTCGTCTTCGTCTTCAAGGACATCATCGGAACCTTCGTATCTTCCACCGTTGGGTCATGGCATTGCAGGTATCATGGCTGGTTCTACGGTCAGCTTCATCGCTGCGCCGGTCGAGCATGTGAAAGCCCGGCTGCAGATCCAGTATGCTGCCCGCAAGGCTGAGCGTCTGTACTCGGGGCCTCTCGACTGCATCCGCAAGATCCACGCCCATCACGGTATCCGCGGCATCTACCACGGTCTGTCTGCTACGTTACTCTTCCGCGGATTCTTCTTCTTCTGGTGGGGTAGCTACGATGTGCTCTCGCGGGCTCTTCGCAAGAACACCAACCTGAGCAACCCGGCTATCAATTTCTGGGCCGGCGGGTTGAGCGCTCAGGTGTTTTGGTTGACGAGTTATCCGAGCGATCTCGTCAAGCAGCGTATCATGACGGATCCCCTTGGTGGAGGCTTGGGAGATGGCGAGAGACGCTTTCCTAAATGGAGGGATGCTGCTGTTGCTGTTTATAGAGAGTCTGGGTGGAGGGGATACTGGAGGGGATTTTTGCCGTGCTTCTTGAGGGCTTTCCCGGCGAATGCCATGGCATTGGTGGCCTTTGAGGGTGTGATGAGGACGTTGCCTTGAAGGGGGAGTGCTTTTCTTTTCTTTACGTTATTGATGATACCTCGCTGCTGCATGAAAAAAGCAGATGATGGAAGCATATATACACATGCATTATGTAGACATGGCAATCTGATAGCGCATCATAAATTGACTACGTCGAGTATAAACTGCTTAAGTACTTTATAACAACAGACTACGTTGGCATTCACAGGATAATGTTCAGGAACCAGGAGGGAAATATTAATGTAGGTAGGTCCACTCAAAATGGTCGCTTCTTTTTTGATTGACTAGACTAGAGCAACCCAAAAACCAGGTCTCTCCTTTTCAGAGATCCCAACACGCTGACGACGACCCTTTAACAAGAGCCGCACGTGGTTATATATCCTTCATCACAAAGGGGTCCAGGGTCGCTGCAAGTTGCTATTTTTCCCACAACCATTCTTCATTTCCCATATGGCTTTTCCCTTTATTTATTCCAAGAAGGCGAATTTACTCGTCATCCTCATCGGCGTCATCGTTGACGACGTTGAAGAACTTGAGCTCGTAGACACCACGGGAGGTGGAGACGACACGGAGCCAGTCACGGAGCTGCTGCTTCTTGAGGAACTTCTTGGTCCTGTTCATCATAAAACGTTTTAGTATAACTGTGTATGGTTGAAGAAGAACAATAGGGGGGCTCAAGGTAAGTCGTACAGGTACTTGAGGTAGCGGCCAGAGAGCTCGTTGTGGGCAATGACCTCGATCTTGCCATCGCCAGACTGCTGGATGACGACGTTATCGCCCAGGTTGTTGGTGCGGCCGTCAACCTTGATGTGGTCCTGGAGGAACTTCTCAAAGGCAGAGACGTCGAAGATCTTGTCGCTAGCAGGCTGCGAAGCGTTGATGATGAACTATAAAATTCAGTGTTAGCAACCTCCCCATTCCCCTTCTTGAGCTTCTCGGAATGTTCTTTTTTTTTTCTTTTGTTAACTCACCTTCTTGGTCTGCTTCTGGGCCTTGCCCGCCTTCTTCTATATCATGACATTTACACATCAGCCTACTGCTTTTTGTCGGTTTCTCGTCGGCAGCGCAACCACCCTCCCCTCTCTCTCTCGTCTTCCCTAAGACAGCAGAGAAAGAGAAGAGGGCAGTTGTCTGCCTACAGCAAAGCAAATGAGAAATGTCATTTTCACGTGGTACATACAGTGATAGGAGCCATTGTTGATAATTGGTGGTGTTGAGTGGACGTGAAGAACGCAAAGAGGTCAAATCCTGCGCCTTTGGTATTTGTTCGGGGGGTGTGGAGTGATGATAGAAACCGAACTTTTTTCTCCCTCGTGAATTTTTTAGCCCAATTTCGGTGGGCTCGTTGCGAAAATGCGCTGCCGAATTAGGGCTGGGGCGGATCAACTAGCGCCGAGGCTCCGAAACAAAGCGCTTTGCTCTGGTTCGTGCTGGGAGCTCTAAAGTCATGTGACCTCCTCAACGTCCAACAGCCTTGACGCTTCAGCCTCCCCGTCAAGATCATGAGCTGCAAAGGGGGTTAGATTTTCATCATCTTGCTATATCATGTAAGTCGAATATACGTAGTTGACGCACAAATCTCATAGTCATTGATATCAAAGTCCCAATGTCAAATTGCTTCATTTAACCGTAAGCGAACATAACTAGCATAAACCAGCCTAATGGCCAGGAAAGAACTATGAAGAAGAATAGATGAGCCATACACGCATGATTCATTAAGTCGTTTGAATAAAAGAGCGCTCCTTTTCCATCGCTGCCATATTTGCCATGTGCCCCAATCGTCTACCAGTCAATTAAACAGCCTCTTGAATACCCCCTTGAGTCCTCCCGACTTCTTCTCCTGCTCCCTAGCCTCCCTCATCCGCCTGCGTTCGTGACGGGCTCGCCGAGCAGAATCGTCGCCCTCGTCGAGCGGCGCCGATTGCCTAGGAGAGTCTCCGAAATGGCCCCCGCGAGGTCTATCATACGTAACCTCAGACAACCGGCGATCACGGGTCCGGGGAACGTCCCGGTCGCGTGTTCTGGGCCGCATCTCCTCGGGAAGAGAAGAATCCCGAGCTGGCACGTAGATGAATTGATCTGGAGGTGGCGGCGAGGATGACTTGCGAAGCACCCCCTGGGCATTCTTCATGTCGAAGAATTTCTTTTCGGGAGACTGTGACCCCCGTGGGTAGTCAAAGCCAGAGTTGCCTGAACGTTGACGGAACGAGCGACCACGATGGCGCTTGATCTCTTCAGGCGGCAAGTCAAAGCCCACCTCTTTGCCCTTACGCTCTGGGGGAGCGGGGATAGGGGCCGGAGGCGGTGCGGGATCTTGGAACTCGTCAACAGCCGGAAAGGGTTCGGGCTGAGGGTCCAGGTTCTTTTCGTAGAGCTCACGGCGCTCACGGCGTTCGCGGCGCTCTCGCCGTTCATGTCGTTCACGCCGATCATATTTCTCAGGTCGGCCATAGCCCTCGTCCATTACTTCACGGTCGGTGAGCGGTTCAGGCTGTTCGAAACGCTCGGGCCGATCAAAACGCTCAGTGCGCTGAGTGCGTTCGGGACGTTCATAACGGTCACGGCGGTCAGAGCGTTCAATGCGTTCACGATGGTCACGTTGTTCTCGGTGTTCGTTGTGTTCACGTCGTTCACGACGCTCATCATAGCGTTGAGGCTGCTCATACCGCTCGTGTCCTTCATACCCTTCGTTGACCGCCTCGGGCGCTTCTTGCTTGTCGATTCGCTCAGCCTCTCGGGCAGCACGACGCTGAGCTCTGCGTTGTTCACGTTGTTCATGAGCCTCCTGCTCTTCTGGAGTTCTATATCTCCGGCTGGAGGACACAGGAACCTCGCCTACAACGCCGCTGTGGCGCCGCCGAGGAGTTCGTGGTGGCGTGTCTAACTTGGACGACCCAGAACCAGGACGAGAACTACCACTGTCAGGAATAGAGCGGCGGTAGTTTGACCCCTGGGATTCGTATGAGCGATGTTTGCTCTCTCTGTTCTCTCTATACTCTCTGTATTCTCTGCCCTCTTCCTCACCACGATTCCGGCTGGAATGGGAAGAATGGCGAGAATGACGATACTTGCGGTGTCGTTCCCGGTCACTACTCGAGGAAATGTGCTCCTTAGATCTATCCTCTGTGAAAATGTCAGCAATGGATTTACGAAGATCTTCCTCATCATCACTAATACTCCTGCGTGTAGTAGGGACGGCTAGAGACTGAAGTTCCTCCGAATCCAACTTCATCTGATGATGGTCCAGATGAGGAAGGTCCCCGCCGTTGCGGAGGCCTGTGAGCGAAAGACGGGCGACAGGCCTAGGTGCCTCTGCGATGGTGTTAGTGACCACAGCAGCGGCGGCTGCGTCATCAGCGTCGTGAAGTAGAATCTGATGCTTGTGACGCAGCAGTCGAGTCCTCAGCCTGTCAGTCGTCGCCCTTTCAGGAACCACAGCGGCGGGAGTCGGCACTCTGAACTCATCATCCAATAACACGGAAAGAGACAGCGGAGGCGGAGTATCTTGTTGAACCATTTCTTCATATTCAAAGGGAGAGACCAAGGGGCCTGGGGAGGCCATGTTCGTCCACCTCGAGGAGTAGTGACCGTCGGCGTTAAGAGCAGGGTATCGTAAAGGGGGCACATAATGGCTTGTTGCGGCAGCGACTTCCAAAGGGACCGCGTTTCGATCCAATCCACGGAATGGCATCATCTCTCTCTTCATCACAGCCCCTGCCTGGAATCCATCGTCGGATTGAGCGACCACTCCACCTTTTGCGGCAAACCGAGGTCCATCGAGCACTTCCCTGTCGATGCTACGGCTCAATCCGGGCGTGGTGAATGCGTTTACTCGTCCGCCCTCTTCTTTCCAAAGAGTTGGGTCAGCCATGCGAACGGCGCCAAAAGCCAGGCTGTCAGTGCCTCCAGAATAGTCGACTTGGGCTACATCCTGTAAGTTTTTGTTCTCTTTAATAGGCTTCGCCCTTTTCGTGATCTCTTTACTTGCCTGATCGAGTTCTATTGCTGTCACTGTCTTTGAAGTTGTTGCCTCTTCGCTGGATGGTTGATGTGATGGGATTCCCTGGGGGGTCGGCACAGTGTCCTTCGCATCAACTGGCGCCTTGGACGTTGAAGGCTCAGCTTCTCGGGTTGCAACGGGCTCCTCAACGGGCTTCGTAACCTCCGCGGGGAGGACAATCACTCTCTCTGCTTCTTCTTGTTTAGGGGTTTTGTCTTCCACATCACGTTTAGTCACCTCGGTTTCGGGCGCTGCGGGAGCAACTGGCTCCTGAGCGGGTCCCTTTAGCCCACCTTCTTCAGTTGCGGCCGAGATATCACGCTTCGAGTCGTCAGACTCTTGGTGAATGACAGCAGCAGTCGCCACAGCAGCTGTAGCAGCTGTAGTAACCGCGGCAGCCCCAGCGATGAGAGCAATCTTGTCTGACTCCTCTTCCTTTTCGTGAGAAGGCAGCGGCTCAGAGACGGCCTCCACATCAGGTTTGGTAGAAACAGCAGGCACTTCGACTGCTGGTGTCTCAGCCTCTTCAAGATCGCCTGTCTTGGCATCTTCTTTCTCCTCCTCTCCCAAGGACCGACTCTGAATCTCCGAAATGTCTTCCGATTTCAACGCCAAAACGCCGTGGTCCTTCGACTCCTCACCCGATGTGGAGTCACCAAACCGTCCCGAAATATCAACAGGGGTATCATGTAATGAATGCTGCTCCTCACCTTTCCTGACTTTCTCTACCACGTTCTTCTCAACTGAAATAGGACCGATAGTGTCCTTGATCTCCTCTTCCTCAACGTTCTTGGGCGCCTCCACCTCAGCAGCTACAGGCTGCACTACCTCCTCCACTGGCTCTGGCACAATTGCCTTTTCGCTCTCTGCAACAACAGGCGCAGGCTCTGCTTCAACTGCCGGAGTGACGGGGGTGACTTCAGCAGGCACCTCTTCAACAACGGAAGCCGTAGAGTGTTCCTCAGCTTCAGCTGGCACAGCAACAGGTGCCTCGATAACCTCTACCTCCTTAGGAATTTCCTTTGAGAGTTCTTCATCATGAGGAGCCTTGGAGTCTTCCGTTAGCTCTGAAGTGGCCTGGACTTCTGATGGTTCTTTGCTATCAGCCTCGTGGACGATCTCCTTTTCAACCTCAGCTGGGGCAATAATTTCGAACTCCTCGTCGACAGGTTCAGGAACAACGGGCTCAGTTGGCTTGTGCTCCTCAGCGACCTCAGACTTGGCGATTTCAGGCTCCGTCGCAACCTCAGACTCAGCAACAACCTCGGGTTTGGAGACCTCAGATTCGGTGGCAACCTCAGAGTCAGCAATAACCTCAGGCTTGGCGACCTCAGATTCGGTGGCTACTTCGGACTCAGCGACAACCTCAGGGTGAGCAGCAACCTCAGATTCCGCGGCAACCTCAGACTCAACAACGGCCTCAGGGTGAGCAGCAACCTCGGATTTAGCGACCTCAGATTCGGTGGCTACTTCAGACTCGGTAGGCTCAGACTTGGCGACCTCGGATTCGGCGACAACTTCAGGGTGAGCAGCGACTTCAGACTGGGCGACCTCAGACTCAGTGGCCACTTCAGACTCTGCAACAGGCTCAGACTTGGAGACCTCGGATTCGGTGGCTACTTCGGACTCGGCAGCGACCTCGGGGTGAGCAGCAACCTCAGATTCCGCAGCAATTACAGACTCGGCAACAGGCTCAGACTTGGAGATCTCAGACTCGGTGGCTACTTCAGACTCAGCAACGGGCTCAGACTTGGCGACCTCAGATTCAGTGGCCAATTCGGACTCGGCAGCGACCTCAGGGTGAGCAGCGACCTCGGAGTCGGTAGCAACCTCAGACTCAGTAGCAACTTCAGAGTGGGCAACGACCTCTGGGTGGGCAGCGACTTCAGACTCAGTAGCAGCCTCGGACTCGGTGGCGACCTCGGATTCGGTGACGAGCTCAGGCTCAGCAACATTCTTCTGAACATCACTCTCGGCCTCGGCCACCGCAACGTGTTCCTCAGGGGTAGATTCGCTTTCAGTAGTCTCAGGCTTGTGGTCTGTTACTTCCGATGAAGCCTCGACAACTTCGGGCTTAGCCTCAACCTCAGAATGGGTGGCATGAGAAACCTCAGACTCGACCTTGGAGACTTCAGACTCAGTAGCTTCAGCAGGAACTGAGTGCTCCTCAGAAACTACAGATTGCTCGACAGGGGCCTCTTCGTGAGAAGTCTCCTCAGTCTCGGCGTGTGCCTCGACAGGCTCCTTGACATCCTCGACCACGGACTCAGGCTCAGCCTCCTCCGCCTTGGTCTCGACATCATGGTGCTCCTCGTGAGTCTCCTCTTTGGCAGCTTCGGTGTCGTGAGACTGTTCGACCTCATGAGCTGGCTCAGCTTCTTCAGTCAAGTCGTGTTTAGCCTCCTCGCTGTGGACAGGCTCATGAGACTCGGCCACGTCCTTAGGAGCCTCTTCAACGGGTTCCTCCTCCTTGGGAGTTTCCTCGACTTCCTCGGCTTTGGTCTCCACCTCAGCGGCGACGTGCTCGTGTTCAGCAGGAGACTCTTCGTGCTTCTCGGAGTCATCATGTTTCTCCTCAGTCAAAGGAGTCTGCTCTTCGGCAACGACGTCGTCAACAGCGGGTGCAGCATCAGAGTGTGGTTCAGGAGTCTTTTCCTCCTCGTGGTGTTCGGGCTCCGCAGTCTCGGGTGCCTTCTCCTCCTCGTGAGCGGGAATCTCCTCCGTAGCGATGTCCTTTGCGGCTTCAGCATACTCTTCATGTTCCTTGGCAGGCTCTTCGTGTGCTGCTTCGGTGACATGCTCTTCAGCCTCCTTAGAGGTCTCCTCATGGTGGTTCTCGACGACAGGCTCGGCAGCAGGCTCTTCCTTGGCCTCAGGTTCAGCGGTGTCTTTCTCAACCTCGGTGTGCTCCTCGACGGAAGGCTTCTCCTCTTCAGAGTGTTTCTCCTCCTCAGCAGGCGCAGCCTCGTCGGTGTGCTTCTCCTCTTCGACGTGAGCAACCTCTTCGGCAGGCTTCGTCCCCTCGGTAGCGGGCACTTCAGAGTGTTGTTCTTCGACGTGCTCCTCTTCGTGAGCAGGTGCGACCTCTTCAGCGGGCTTATCTTCCTCAGTAGACTTTTCCTCCTCGATGGGCTTCGTCTCTTCGGTAGATGGGACGTCTTCGGAGTGCTTCTCCTCTTCGTGAGCAGGTGCGACCTCCTCAGCAGGCTTCACATCTTCTGAGGGCTTGTCTTCTTCAGCATGATGCTCCTCCGTTTTCTCAGCCTCAGCCGGCTCAGGAACGTGGACATCATCCTTGTGCTCTGATGTCTCAGTCTCCTCATGCTCGGCGGGCTCTTCGGCCACCACTGGTGCCTGGGTATCTTCTGTGTGAGTAGGCTCCTCGGCTGGCTTCTCATCGTGTGTTTCCGCCGGCTCGTGAGACTCTTCGACATGAGCATCCTCGTGAACAGCAGGCACAGCCTCTGGCTCCTTCTCAGCCTCGGTTTCCTGGGGAACATGCTCATGCTCCTCCTTGTGCTCGTGCTCCTGCTCATGCTCGGGCTCCTTAGCGGTTTCCGACTCGGGCTCCGCATGCTCGGGCTCTGCAGAAACAGCGGCTGCATCTTCCGTAGTCTTAGCCTCTTCCTCAGCTACCTTGGCATCTTCGTGGTGAGCTTCGGATTCCGTTTCGGCCTTGACTTCTTCGGAAACAGGGGCGGCCTCATCCGAATGTTCGGGCTCAGCTGCGGTCTCTTCCTTCGCGGTTTCGACAGCAGGCTCAGGCTCCGCAACTGCGGCTTCGGTCTTCTCCTCTACAACCGGAGTAGCCTCATCCTCACCTCTTCCCTCGTCGGTGGCTGGTGGCGATGGAGGCTGGGCGGGATCAAGAGCGCTATCCTCGGCCACATCTGTCTCCGAGTTCTTGGGGCTGCTCTTCTTCTTCTTCTTTTTCTTCTTCTTGTCTTTCTTAGCCTCGTCTTCGACCACCTGACTTGACTCCTCCGGAGGAGGGGTAACTGTTGTGTCTTGCTCTGCCGTCTCGGCGGTTTCCCCCTCAGCCTTGACTTCAGCTGCAAAGCTTTCGGAGGACTCTATAGGCGAAGTTATCTGGCTTTCGCTCTTGTTCTTGTTCTTCTTCTTCTTTTTCTTCTTGTTCTTGGAAGAAGTGGGCTCTGCCGCAACTTCGCCATCTACCTCGGCCTCTTCAGGCTGCTCTTCAGCCGCGGCCGAATCTTGAGGGGCATCATTTTCTGCCGCAAAATTAGCATTGGAAGATATTGGAAGAAATGCGCTCTGGGTGAATGTCGCCAATTACCTTTGTTGTCTACTGACACCTTGGACCCGACCTCGGAGTCATTCTTTTCGAAGTACTGGACATTGGAAAAATCGGAGAACTGTACATTGGACAAGTCTATGTTAGTCCTGACGGGACAGTACTCGACTTCTTGGGCGGTGCTCATACTTCCTTTGCCCTGTCGACCTCAGAGACCTCGGACTGAGCGAGCTGGGGCACGGCTGCTTTATCGACCTCCATACAAGCTGCACTGAAATCAGATTATCCGACAGATGCAGGTGGAAAGCGCCAATAAGGAAAACGGCCGGTCTCTTGGGCCTTGGCGCTTCAGGACACGGCTGTCTGTGGCTGCTTCAAAGCGAATGTAGCAGCCTATTGGTACGGATGATGACGGGTTTCAGAGTGTAGTTTGTTATGTATGATGCAGGAGGTTTTTTTTTTTTTTCCTCTCTAAAACCTGCGAACAGGTGGGAAGTCAGTAAAGGCTTTGAGATGACACCACTTGGAGCCTTGTCTCCTCGAGCTGCATGGGCCCATCCAAAAAAGCACGTCCCATGTCAAAAAAACACCCATGGCCGTCCACAAGCGAACCAGAGAAGATTGACGATGCGGAGCCCAGCAGGCCAAGAGTACACAAATTCCGGTCCAGAGCCCCCCTTGCAACAGAGATCCATACCCACACGACGGCTGAATAGCAATCATGCGAGCCCAATTGGCAGAGGCAAGTCGTTTTCCGCCCGCCACGCCGCTCTACGATTGGGCTCAGCAGGTGGCCTTGTCGCCAGCCGGCCGCATTTGCGGGTTGAGACATGACTTGAATTCGCACGGGCTGACAGGATAGGTGCCCGACGCAACGAAAATGGAACATGCATGATCAACCAACGAAAAGTGGGATTAAGCACCGGCGGGCAAATCAGACACACAGGCAAACAGCAATCATGAGGAAAGGCGGCCAGATGAGCTGGCTAGCAGTGGGCCGAGTGGCTCCAGCTTCTGAGCGATATCAAAGACCGCCCACCGTGCAGGACCTAGCGTGTGAGGATGCGTCCGCGAAGGCTGGAGGGATATGCATGTTGTGACTGGTTTCCCTCTGGATGCGTGCTACGTGGCTCGCCTCTTGATGCCCCGCGGTCGTTCTCATGCAGCTCAACCCCGGAATCTATCGGCATTGGGCAATTGCGTTAATTATCTGGGAGGGCGATTCCTTGATTGATCGAGCAAGTCGTCGTTTCTTTCATTTCTTTGGCGAGGACAGTAAATGACTTGCTTGAGGAGCATGACTTGCAGAAGGCCCCCTTCTTTTTCTCGAACAAGAACCAGATGGAAAAAACAAGAGAATTCGCACCACGTACTAACCGTCAAGCCACCCCAAGCTACCTAGTACTAACTCGTATGCGCTGCCCGTCTCGGAGAGGCTGGTTCTTTTTGACTAACCGGTGCTACGGCGATGGAGCCACAGCCGACACTTGACAGGGGGTGGTTCCGTGGGAGAAAATTCTCAAGCTCTGGCCAGGGTGCGGCAACTGTTGCTGGCGAAGAAAATATCAGCCGACTGTCGTACAAGCACAGTCGTCAAGACGGGTTTCGTTTTGCCACCGGGCTCGTGCTAGGAAAGGAACCTTTGGCTGTCTTGTCTTTGGCTCTCTTTGTTTTCCCTGTCGTGTCTCAAAGCTCAAGTGCGCTATCATGCAAGGCGTGCTAATAACGGAAAATGGGAAGACTAGTGCTCTCTAGCAGGCGGTGTGTGGTGGTAGTTGAAAAGAGTGGGGGGAAAGCACTTGGGAGCGCCAATCCTCAGAGCAGCTCCGGAACCACACGTGAGATGCTTCACCGCGTAAAGTTTTTTCTGTTTTCTTTTTCCCTCTCTTTTTCTGTTGCTGTGGGTTTTTCCTGGCCTTCTTCACTGTCTTGGCGGTGCAGCACAGTGACATAATGGTGGGGATGATGGCTCAATTTGCGGGACAAAAAGCTCCCATGCTCTGCTTCGTCGGCGATACGAGTGAGCCATGATCCATGATGTGTGACAGCATCCATCACCAGCCATCGTCTATGCTTACCTGGTCCAAGGACTTGACTTGATACTGCACTACACCTCTAACAGAATGCAGAGGACGAGTAACATCTGCCCGCTCCTCCGTTGACATACCAATCACTTAATTACATGCAGAATATCCAACCCTCTTGTAAGCCCAGACCCATGCACGCGCCAGCCTTCCCATCAACCCCTCTTGATACTTTCACATGTATCTCACACACTATCTGCGCCGAGTGTTTGTTTTCTGCGTACGAGTAAGTTCTCTACAGACATACATCCGTCGTACATGCATCTGCCTTAGTGGTGTAGCACTGCATGACGTGAGCCACTTAGGAGAAGGATCAGAAAAAAAGAGGTGGTCGGCAAGGCAGCAAATGCTCTCCAACCACCAGAGAAATGCTCCGATTCCTGCACCGGTGTGTCCAACCTCTTCCGATCCGTTGTAAGCTACTGTAGGTAAAAGGAGAAGGCAGACGGAAATCACAGATATGACGATGCTATACAGCGCGTGGAATTTTTATCTTCATCGTCCACCAAGTATACACTCGTAGGCCGTAAAACTCAAGACAAGAGCTCTTTTTCTGGCTCTGAATTTTCGCCACCGAGCTCTCCGTCAAAACTACTCGCATGCAGAGTCATGTGCTGGAAAAATCAACGTGGGTCCACGAACCGCGGACCTACCCCATCCAAATGCTACAAAGGTACGGAGCACAGCGTACGGATTACGGCATTCCGTTATGCAACTCTAGAAAAATAATTATGCGAATCCACTTCCGGTTGCATTAACTATGCAAATCTGAGTGAAACATTCGAATCAGTGTTTCCATCAATTGCAGTGATTCAGAGCGAGATGGTTACGTTCATGTGTGATAAAGGCGATTTTACAGATTGTCTTTCGTTCTTCACTGTTAGCAGGATAGGGACAAAGGCACGATGTGGAATAAACGCCACGAAAAGGCAGAATATTTATCATTTTTTAGCTTTTTCAGCCGTCCTGCAATGGCACAACTCTGCAAATTTTGGTATCTTGTCGTGCCACACTCTACAGATTCAGTTGTATAAACCCCATTATCATACCATCCATCATCAAGTGCGAAATTGCGGCGTTCTTATCAAGCAAAGCAAAGAACAAAAGAAACAAAGAGGATCGCCGCCAATTTAGTAAGTCATCCATGCGTCGTTGTCACCTTTCTAGGGTGCCTGTGCCTTGGCCGCGTTGTCCGTAGCACTTGGAGCATAAGCAGCCTGAGCTCGGTTCTTCTTGATGACCTCCTTGACTCGCTCCTCTGCCTCGTCCCAGTCGTCAGTATCGAGACGAACTAGGTCGATACCGTAGGTGTTGGCAATGCTGCTGAGGGCATCGAAGCTCTTCTTGTCATAGACGAAGCTGATACTGACTCCGACACGGCCGAAACGTCCAGTTCGGCCAATACGGTGGAGGTAAGTCTCAGCATCTGGTTCGGAATCGCCGCGGCCTTTCATCGGAATATCGTAGTTGATAACCATGGAAACGGTCGACACGTCAATACCACGGGCGAGGACGTTGGTAGTGATGAGAACCTTGTTCTCGCCTTGTCGGAACTTAGCCAACAGCTCATCTCTTTCATTACCATCGAAAGCAGCGTGCAGGGCGGAAACTTTGTGTCCATCAGCTACCATGCGTCTCTGGATCTCGTTGGCACTTTCACGGGTCTATTTGTATGTTAGAAAAGCTTCATCGAGTTGAAGATTCAAGATCCGTTGGCAACATACCTTGACGAAGATGACCGACTGGCCAATAGTCATAAGACCGTAAAGCTTGCAGAGAACGTCGTACTTGATATTGTCGTCAGCACAGTCAATGAACATTTGCGAAATGCCCTTGACCGTAAGCTCGTTGCGCTGGAGTTTCAGTGAGTGGGCGTTTGGTGCGAACTTCTGGGCATATGAGCCAACTTTGTCGGGGAAAGTGGCTGAGAACAGAAGGATCTGAATAGACTTGGGCAGCATGCTATATCCACAGGTTAGCCATCTCTCATTTCTTTAACTGACTTTGTTCCAGAACAGCCTTACTTCTTGACTCTCAAGCACTGGTCGCCCATTCCTTGCTGATCCAACATATTGTCGGCCTCATCCAAGACGAGAACCTTGAGCTGAGAGACATCCAACTGTCTTCGTCGGATGACGTCCATGACAGTACCGGGTGTTCCAACAATGACTGCAGATCGAACTGGCTGGTCACGGGGCAAAGCACCTGGAATGGCCGCGGCAACCTTGAGGGGCTTGATAAAGCGACCAATAGCACCAATGACACCTTCAATCTGACGAGCCAGCTCTCGGCTGGGTGCCAAGGCAAGGGCTTGAGGCTGATCGGGGTTGTTGAAATCGACACGCGACAGAATGGCAGTAACAAACGCTGCGGTCTTTCCAGTTCCTGATTGGGATTGGGCCATCATATTCCTCGGAGGATCGCTAAGCATCAGAGGAAGAGATTTTCCCTGAACTTTCGAAGGCTTCAAGAACTTGAGAGCCAGAAGGCCCTTTAGGAGGTCCTCGGAACTGTTGCCACATGTTAGCAAATATCCAACATTACAAAAGCAATTTAAATCTTACAGGCCCATATCCTCCCATTGCGTGGCAGAGTGAAAAGGTGTAGCTTCGTTGTTCTGAAGATCGCTAAGGGAGACCTCGACATCCCACTCAGGCTCCTGCAGGCCAGAGCCACCGAGCTCCTCAATGGCACCGTCATTCTGAGCCTCGGCGACAGAAGCATCGGCGGCCGGAGCATCAGCTTCGGGTTGAGTCTCGGCCTGAACCGCTTCGTCAGGCTTCGTAATGCGACTCGCGAGGTCAGACATTCTGGAGATGTTGGATAATCGGACTATCGGGTTCGTGGATTGAGAGTGGCGGAAAGAAACGCGTAGATCAACGAGATGCTCAAGGACAGTCTGCCTGCAACTGTCTAAGGTCGAGTTAGATGGTGAGGAAGAAAAGGAAGAAAAAAAGAAATGTCGTGACTCGACGTACTCCCCAAGCCACACCAGATGCTATGGTCCAAGGTAGAGTGACCTGATATATTGAGGCGGATGGATGGGGGAAATTTTGGTGGGGTTGGTTGGAGGGGTGATATGCAGCTCAAGCTGGCAATTCACCAGAGCTGCGATTAAGTGATGGCGTGCCGATATTTTGCCGGACCGCGCCATACATAGCTCTCAGCCACTAATTGATCGCACAGCAGATAGACTACTAACCTACTGCTGCTAATAATGTGTGGCCGATTACACTTCTGAATATTTCCAAGTTCTGTCGCGTTTCAAAGCTTACTTTTTTCTCTTCTTTTTACTACTCAATTCTACTCAGCTCATGCCTCAGAGTAAATCATCATAGCTAAGTAGCCTTTGTTATCAGGCAACATGGCGGCTCCTCCGCCGCGAGGACTCTCCCTCTACGACAACCTACTCGATCCCAACGATCCCTCTCCATCAGCTACCATCTCCTCCGCGCCAGTGACATACAAGCAAGGCGCGCCTGCAGCAGATGAACAAGCAGCGAAGAAGCCCCTCAATCCCGCGCTTCAATTTCAACCCATACGGCGTCCACAAGTAAAACAGCCCAAAGCCAAGCCGACATTCCCCAAAGCGATCCCAAGGACTGCGCCCACCGCAGCCCCAGCAACTACCACAACAGCTCCCGGAGCTGCGCAGTCAATACCACATCAGAGCACTCTTGCTGATTGGGCGGTAACGGAGGAAGATGAATGGATGTACGGCGTTGGAGAGAAGCGCCAACGAGGCGGTCGCAGAAAGAAGAAGAAGAGGCAGGAGCAGTTCGAGACAGACTGGGACGAGATGTACGATCCATCGAGACCGACAAACGTGGACGAGTTTCTCAAAAGCGAAGAAAAGGTAGAGGAAGTGCGAGAGTGGAAGGGATTGTTATATCGACACCGAAAGCGCCAGGAAGAGAGTGACATCTCAGACTCAGAAGAGGAGGCAACCCGTGCAGCACCCTCAAGTAAGCTCACCCACGCCGTTATTATGAGAAACAGGTCGGACAGGACTAACTCATATTACAGATCAGTTTGCGCCACCAGCTTCATACTCCTTTGCGCCGCCTCCAAGGTCTCCCCCAGCTGCTCCACCGCAAGACGAAACCGCAGACGACGCCTATGCCCGTCGTCTCGCCCTCTCAACAACCCAACAAGTTCCTTCGCCTCAACCTTTCGAACCATCACCACCTCCTCCACCGCCTCCCCCTCAAACGAACAATAACCCATCTTATGCTCCTCCTCCACCACCACCCTCAGAATCCACTACAATATCCAAAGCTCCCGTCCGCTACACCCAGACCCCACCAACCAACACCAACGGCGACGAAGACGAAGGCTACTCACCACCGCCCAGCTTTAACCGCGCCGAAGACGATGACGACGACACCGAACAGCCGCGAACCAACCGCCCCGGCCAAGTCGGCTTCGCGCAACGCCTCATGTCTAAATACGGCTGGACAAAGGGCAGCGCCCTCGGCGCCAACGAATCCGGCATCCTCAACCCGCTCCGCGTCCAGGTGGAAAAGAGGCGCAAAAAGGCCGACGCGGACGGCGGCGGCTGGGCCGAGCCCGCCAACAAGGGCAAGATATTCGGCGGCAAGCGTAAAGAAGAGACGGGCAAGTTCGGCGTCATGAGCGACGTCATTGTCCTCCAGAACATGCTCGAGAACATGCCCGACCTCGAGGCTGAGATCGCCGACGGCCTGGGCCAGGAAATCGGCGGGGAGTGCGGTGAAAAGGTAAGAAAGAGCAACGGCTTCCTGATATATTATGCGAAGAGGCAATTGATGGCTAATAATGTGCGGTATATAGTATGGGCGAGTCGAGAGACTATACATTGACGTGGACACTCGCCAAGTCTTTATCAAATTCACGGACCAAGTATCCGCATTGCGAGTAAGTCACCTACATCTTCAAACAGCTAAACGGCCAATCACTCAAGCTATCTCGGACTAACACAATAGCAACAGGCAGTCAATGAATTGGACGGGCGTGTTTTTAATGGCAACACTATCATCCCAAAGTTTTACGACTCTGAGAGATTTGAACAAGGCATCTACGTGGATGCAACAGCATGAGGTTTAGGACAGGGCACTTATTTAATAGTCATCGCAAACGACTACACTTCTTTTTCACAGGCACGGAGCAAGGTAGACATGGGTAATTAGGCAAAGTTGATTTAATAAAAACAAAGGCAAAAAGTGGTATAAAAAGTACCCTAAGTCTAACATACACCAACACCGGTAAAGAAAGTCTAAAGAGAGGTGCAAATCGTGATAGAATATCACCAGTAACCGTACACACGTAAAATCCTTTCAAGTCTCGAGCTCGCCAGTGATAGCCAAATTGTCACAGGCAATGCAGCTTGTGCGTCATGCATCATTGTCGATGCTCGTCGAAAGGATAAAAGGAGCGTGGCGACATTTTGAAGTACATTTCCATTATTAAGTTCTAGCGTTAGTGCCGCGGACACACACAAAAGGGGCGGTCACATATGAGTTGACAGCCAAGGCGTGGGGGAGGTTGACGAAACCACAATGTGTTGGCTAAAAGAAAACAGAAAAACATCTGGGAGAACAGAGATTGACGCCAAATTCCGACCCATCATCCTCCGAAACTTTTTACCACAGCTGGGCCATACCAGCAAGGACGGAGACGCCCAGGAGGACGTTGTTGACGTTGAGGGCAGCGACAGCGTTGTCAGTGCCGTTACCGCTGTTGTCGCTGCTGCTGCCCTTGCCGCCGCTGGAAGTGCTGGAGTCACCGTCGGAACCTCCCTCATTGGCGGCCTTAACGTTGCTCTTGCAGGACTCCTGACCCTGGATGATCTTGCTCTTCTTGGCGTCATCGAAGAAACCGCAGAAAGCAGAAATGTCGGTGGTAGAGAAGACGGTGCAGCCGCCCTTGACGTCCTTGAGAGCGGGAAGCTCAACACTATAGAAAGATACAACGGTCAGCGATCAAGCATATACATACGTCTGGGAATCTCGGTCTGGCTACTCACGTGTCAAAGTTACCGCGGAGGATGACACCACCAGCAACGGTCTGCAGCTTAGGGAAACCCTCAACGGCATCGAGGGCAGTGTTGTTCTGGACAGTCAAGTCACCAACAGACGTCAAGAGGGGGAATGAGACGTTGGTGAGCTTGTTGTTGTTGATGAAGGTGACACTGTCGCCGATGGAGGTGACGTTCTTGGCGCTGAAAGTAGTGAGCGAAGGGTTCGTGTCGAACTTGAGGGACTGGGTGATGGTCTTCAGGCTAGGAACGACGAAGCTCTTGACGTTAGAAAGCTGAATCTCGGCAGCAGACTGAAGCTTGGTCATGTTGATCTCCATGTTGTTTCCGTTGCTGGTAACACTGAGAAGGGTGGTGATGTTGACCAGGTCGGAGTTGAAGGCGGTCAGCTTGTTGTTGTTGGTGATGGTAAGGGAGTCAACACTGTTGATGTTGAGACCGCTAAGATCACTGAGGAAGGTGTCGGTAACCTGGATGTCGTTGGCCTTGGTGACACCAGAAGTGCCAAAGACCAGAGTGTTAAGCTGGGGAAGCTTGATCATGTTCAACTTGTTCAAGGTCTTGAGCGCCTGCATGTTAACAGAGCTCAGGAGCTCGAGGCCGTTGAGCTCGAAGTTGCCACCAATGGAGGCAATTGTGATACTCTGGACGGAAATGAGCTGGGTAGCATTGTTGATGATGAGATCACCAGTGATCGTCTTGGGGCCGTTGAGAATCAGGTCACCAGCAACGGACTCATCGACGATGATGTTGGCGTCAACGGTATCGCAGGAGATGACAGGGTTAGGCGTGGTGACCTTGATGTCCTTGGAACAGGCGCTGGAGGCAGCTACAGTCGAGTTAGCATTTTGCAATGATACCACAGAGCGCAAAGGATCTTACCAGAGACGACGCTGGCGGCGCCAGCAGCCAGGATGGCTGAGAAGAGCTTGGAGGAATGCATTCTGATCTAATAGAAAGAACGAAAGTTAGCAAGCGTGCACCAAAAACGCGTCAAAATAATGAAAAATGAAATGTGAAGATGGCAGTGTCGCGATTCGAGGCGTGAAGCTGGCGCAAATAGGGGGTATCTGACTGTGGCGTTTAAACTATGCAACCGGTCCAAAAGGCACGAGACGAGACAAAAAGATGTTGACGGAATCCAGTTCTCGATCGCTCGAACAATGGCCCAGGTGTCTAAATATTTCCACTCGTAACGGCAACAGGCGAGTCCGGGAAGGAAAGGCGTTGATTTGTGCCAAATAAGGGGGGAGCGTGTTGTTGGAGAGCAGAAGAGCGCAATCGCAACCGGAGAACCAGCAGCAAGCTTTGAGGCGCAAATCGAGCAAGTCGGCAATATCAAATGTGCGTGGAAGGAGAAGAGCAGAGGAAAGTTTGCAATGTGCCAGTGACAATGACAGGTGCCAGTGCCAGGTGAAACGGAGGTTGGAGGAGCAGCAACGAGGTAATGCAACGCGCACACCACAAAATACACAAAACAAGCGAAACCAGGAGAGCTCACACACCTTGTAGCAGAGTCGATCTTTTTCCTGACACGACGGGAGAAAAACTGGAAACGTTCCTGGGCAACGGGGTAGAGATGTCTCAAAAGATGGTGGTCAAAATAAGGCTACTGGTTGGCCTGGAAGACTGTAGTTGGAATGGGGTGGGAAGAAAAATGGTGTGAATAAAAAGCTATAGCGCAAATTGCTTGGCCTGATAACGAGTGGCAGGAATTGAAGCAGGACGACGACGAGACGACGGACAACAGCAAGAGCAAGAAACAAGAGAGAGAAAGCGAAAGCGAGGAAGAAGGAGAGAAAAGGGAAGAAGAACCTGTTCCTGGGACGAAACCAAGCGGCACCCCCTGCTTGCGCGAGAGCTTCCTCGTGCACCAACCACAGGCCGGATACAGGGCCGGCCAGGGGAGAGAGGCCGCAAATGTCCCCTGGGAATGGAGCTCTAGGGGGTGTGGGTGGGACGGGCAGCCTCTGGAAGGGTTGGAAGGGCAGGCCGCCCCACCGCGCCTCATCTCCATAATTTGCCATCAATCTAATGAAATTTGTCCCCGTCCGAGCTGCAATGGGCGAGGGAAAACAAGGCAATGATGCTCGGCTGGCGGCAGAATTGGATTGATACTGTAGACTAACTAGATGGCAGTGGCGCCGGATGGGGCACTTGACGCAGATTAACATTTGGGATGCGTGTATAGGTGGAATAAGAGCAATACGGGAGTCCAGATAGCAATTAGCAGTACTCGTATAGCCCTATTACTGCTGCCACTTCTAATCCCACACGGCACTGTACTGCAAAGCACATTGATGTGCTCTCTTTCCCCCGAAACAGCAGTGGCCGGTACTCCGTGCACGCGCGTGCGCTGCATACGGAGCTCGTTTTGAAGCGCGCCAGACCAACTTGTGCCGTCCGTCTTTTTTGCTTATATTATCGACGGGGCCGTCCTTGCTACCGAGAGACAGACAGTGCAAGCATCAGCTCCCTGCTGTGGACTTGTACCTGCTTATTTGCAAGGCACCGGCAACGTTGACTCGCAGCAGCTCCCCGCGTCAGGTACTCCGTACATGTCCACGGGTATCCAGAAAGCTGCGCGCAGCTCCTCGCTAGACCGGTCGGGCAGGTAATATCAACAGAAACGGCCCTCCGTGCCTGGCCCTTTACCGCTACGGGCAGTACGCACAAGGTACACATGTAGGTACACATGTAGGTACGGCGTTCCCGCATGCGTCCATGTACCACTTTGATCATGGACGGTAATAAGAATCTCACCTCGGGAGGCGCTTGGCAAGGCCCGTAATCGAACAATCCATGGGCCGACCTGCTACTTGCAATCTTGGGCCGAGTGCATGTCTCGTCTTCACTACACCATTGATTTCCTTCACACTGTACAGTACGATATGCGATATGATCCGCATGCATGCGATGCGCATCGAATGCCATCATTCCCATCATCATCACCACGACGTCGTCGCTGCAGATCGTATCGTCGTGCGCCACTCCAATGTTCACCAACCGCTAGCAGCACTAGGACAGCTTCGCGGCTTCGCCAAAGCACCGTCTCAGCAGCCATGTGCAGAGCTAACAGGGATCGTCAGTGGAAATGCTTCAATTGAATTTGTTAGCGCCCCTGGCACGGCTTCCTTCAGCAGCCCACATCACCTTGCGCAGAAGCTCGTCTGCAGCTGGCGCGGATTTTTCGGCCATGGACAAGCAAAGTTTCCCGCTGGTTCTCCTTTTTTTGTTCCCTTCGCTCGATGGCTAGCAAGATTAGTCGGAGGGCCGGTACGAGGAGTTTCAAAACACTACCGAGGAGTCACGCAAGGAGTCCCGTCAGCCTAGCAACATCAATCCTGGGCTGCATCCTCCGTGCATGGCTAGTTCCAGCCAGTTGGCGGCCTAGTGTATCGTACAGTACGGAGATGGACAGTATATTTCCTCGTGCTCCATGCTCTAATCAACCCGGAGCGCATACTCCGCTCTGAGCATAGTTGCACTATCGGTACTCCTTTCTTCAGCAGTTGAAAAGTGTTTCATCCTTTCGTGATTGCTTAGGTGATTGTGATTGTTTCCTTCAGCAGCACCGGCTCCACGGCAACGCCGGCCGGGCAATTGATGCCGAACGATGACGAGGGCAATTCTCAAAATCATGCATTGACGCATTGGCCCGTCACGGCGGCCTTAGTCGTTGTGGCTTCTTGGCATGGTGGTGTGCCACACCTTCTTACCCAACCTCCAATAGTGTCCGAACCAACTCATCCAGATGCGATACGAGAACTCTAACATTCGAGGTACGCGGAGAGCTCCATGGCATTGGTCAATTTGGGCATCAAAAGTCCGATGGGGATCTTGCTGGCCAAATAATGGTGTATTATTAGATATCAGTTGACAACCCATCAAGCGGGACACAGCCAATCCCCGCCATTAGCGGCCAAGACTGTGCTCCGTATCATGTACAATGAGGGCATCATGATACAACCGCAAAAAGCAATCCCAGTGATGCAAACACCCCCTCTTGTTGAGCAACCTATCATTGTGTTACTGAACGATAAAGCTAAAAGCTGCATTGTTATTGTTTTGGGTTACACTTCTAATTTAGGATACTGTAGCCACGCGTCATCCCTAATGGCAGCTACCACAGGTCCAAGCAGTTTGTGGTCCAATCACACAGAGCCTTTCTTACTCCAAGCTGATGCTGGCCAAACCAAGTATATCCGTGCCTTGCACACTCTTTTCACCTCATCACCTCATCACCTCATCATCTTAATACGAAGTCCAGGTACAGACGGTCTTTCAAGTAATTCGAGAATCAGCATCTTGATACGAAGTGCCGAAAAAAAAGTACGAGCAGTGCCGGTACAAGGTACACAAAGGAGGTCGACGCGGATGGTCCGTACTCTGTACGACAGGAAAAATACGAGTACCTACTCCGCAAATGCCATAATCCAGATTCCGTATTACAGCTCACCTTGAAACTCTCTAATTAGAAGACGAATAACGCCGCTATTCCTGCTTTGAGGCACATCAATTGCTTCTACGCCCTATCTTCATATGCCCGCATGCGGCATACCTAATCTTGACATAATCCCTTATCACCAGCGATTTTGACTCGTGTAAGATCAAACGGCCCGGCCCCGGATACATGTAACTCAGAATGTAGTCAGTCCCCTTTTATGTCAGACGGCTGCACGTGTCATCCGCGCCGAGCCGTCACGCATCGAGGTCTAAACAAGCTTGGCTTCCGGGTCCAGAATAAGATTTGGCGAGTGATACCGTGGACATGGCACTTGCAGACAATCAAATCAATGGACACATATGAGAGCCTGGATTCACTCCTGAGTTTGCTCAAGTCCGTCCTGAACCTAAAATTTAGGACGCATTCCCTCGTAGATTAAAGTGACGATGGGTGTGCGGGCTCGCCAATTTCCTCTTTAAAGTTCGTGTTGAAAATGCTATTAATACCTTACTTTAAAAGACCCATCCCATGCTATAAATCCGACCATAGTATGAACTATCTAACTTACCTTGCTTTATGCAGCTAGGAATCACACGTACACACATAGAACGTGCTGCTTATTTCTCCATAGTACTCACATCAGTCTCCTCAACCTTCCACATGTACCACATAAACAAACTCCGATACGGTACGAACTTGTCCGACAGTTCCACCATGTCTTGCTCCGACATGTATTTCCACTTGCCTCCCTTGCTCTTGAGCTTGGCCACATCTCGTCCAACAAAGGCAGCCATGCCTCTCTGAACGCCCAGGTCGCCCAGGGAAAAGACGTCCATTCGTTTGAGGGCAAAGCAGGCAAACATCTCGACGGACCACTTGCCCAGCCCACGAACGGCGATGAGCCTCTCCATGAGCTCGTCGTATGGCGCATCGTGGAGCATCTTGGCCGTGATTTCGCCGCTGGCAAACTTCTCGGCGAGGCCCTGCACATACTCTGCCTTGCGCTGCGAGAGGCCGGCGGTGCGCAGCCGCTCGATTGAGCATGCCGCAACTTCGGATGGGATCGGGAATCTCTGCTTGGGCTTGGATGGAGCGTCGCCATCGGCAGGTTGAGAAGACGCATCGCCATCCTCAGGGGGGTAGAAGAGGGCAATGAATTTGTTCTGGATGGACTTGGCTGCCGCGCCGGAGACCTGCTGCGATATGATGCTGCTTACCAGGCTCTCGAACGGGTCAATCTTCTCCGCCAGTCCTTCAGGAGAGAAGCTGCGGCAGTGATGCTTCTCAACCAAGGGCCTCATTCGCTCATCAACCTTGATCATATGGTCGCATGCCTCCTGCAGGATTGTGGCCGTGGTCGTAGGCTTGAGACCAATTGACGGCACCTTTGACGGTGACACCGCTTCCACATCGCGCGAAGCGACTATTCGTGATGTCTCCGGAGACAGCAGCGTCGCATTGGAGAATCTGGGGTCTGCGAGGCGAGTGACGGATTTGTGGGCGGTGCCTTTGGTCCCATTGAGGTCAAGGACGCTGGTGGTGGGTGTTAAGGGGGGAGCAATTGGGCGCTGCTTCTTGGTCGGTGTTTTGGGCGCCGAGGGCTCGGGCTCAGGAGCTGCTTTTCTCTTTCTCTTGTTCTCCTTGTGAGCAATTGGGGCTGGGTTTGCGGTAGTCTTCGCTGCTTCGGCCGCTTCTTGAGTGCTTGCCTTGTTGTTGCTGATGCGCGCGGATCGCCGTGTGGCCGCCATTGCCGCGAATGAGTATGTGCTGAAGGTTGGTGGTGAAAGGTTCAGTTGAGCTACGCCCAGTGTAAGTGGCCTGTATACAGCGGCCAGAGACTTTGCGTAGTTGAGAGATTGCATGCGCCGCTCGATCTATAGGCGGTCCAGAATTGGAATTGACAATTGCCAACTTCAGAAACTTTACCTGGAGGTGTATGAAGATGCAAAAGTTCAATTCATTCAAGAGTGCTGAGTGTCACTGGCGCCTTTGGTGTCGGTTTGCAGTTTGTCATCACGGGCCAAGTACCGGCATGCAGAGCAACACGGCAATTGTGTGTAGAAAAAAACACAGTGACATGTGGTAAGACTTTAAAGTCCGCGCCAAATGGAAAGACAGCCAACTAAAACGTCGAGATTTCTAAACTAGGCAAGATGATCATGAATAAACTTGCCTATGTGGTTCCCCATTCTCATCCGATTTGCTCCCTGTTGAGATTACCGGTGCGGTATTCCGCAGCCTGTTCCAGACCACTTTTTGGTTACCTAAGGTACTTAAGAGTTGAGATTGCCACCACCTCGGTCCTTTTTTTTTTTTTTTGTCTCTTTATTCTCTTGAGGGCACCTCTTCACTTTTTTTCTTCCCTTATCGCGCCATCTTCAGACTTCAAAATGAAGAAAGCGGATGATGCAATTAGGCTTATCTGTTTGTCAATAAACAACCTTAAAACAATACCCAGCATCACCACATCTTCTGCACCGTAACTCGTATTTTTTCTGCAGGGTAACATTATGGCCATGTACTTCGTATGGATGCTTCCCGCAGTGACCTCCTGACTAGCGCGTCTCGATTGACATAAGGATCAATTCAATTGGGCCAAATTGAAGTCTTCAAGTCGGGTGTCGCTAAAGCGCAACATCATTGGTACCAGGAGGAGCCACTTTTCCGCTGGCCGCGGCTAACACATGAAAGTATCCCACATGTATTGTCCTGCACTGCCCAACGGGTTAAACTTTTCAACAGGACAGCAATACTCCAATGGGTACTGTACACTCTGATACGCTAAGATAGGTACGGAACACCCTATCTCGACTGCTCCCCCTTCCCTCCTTCGTTGGACGCCATTTTGTCCGGCAGCCTCTCATTACCACGTCGGCTCTGTGTCTTGCTGTTCTGTTATCGTTGGCCTGATCCAAGTGTCGCCTCCACTCTCGTTTTAAAGTCTTTCTCTTCCTTTTTCTGGCCCGTGTTCCGTAAGCCCGTCTGCCGTCTCGAATCCTTCCGTGTCATCCCCGAAACGCTGCCATCGCTTGAGCGACATTCGACAAGTCTCATTTTCCAGGCGCCAATTGCAACGGTAACTTCTGGAAACCGAGGCGCGCCTTGACAGATCACCATGTTGCTCCCCAAGGGTGGATTGAGCTGGAAATCGGCGAGGGCGCAGATCCCTCCGACCAGGGCATTGTGGAATGCCGTGACGCGGACACGGTTTATACTGCTGGTGGGAGTTACGGGAATCATCCTGCTGCTATGGCGTGGCGTGTCTAGCTCGGCGTCAGAGATGCAGAGGTAAGCAGTTGCAGGCTGGTTTTCGCTCCTTACGCGCATGGAACTGACCATCCATGATGCCACATAGCTTCTATTGCTGGGGTCCGGCTAAGCCACCCATGGAAATGTCACCGAATGAGCACAACAGATGGAATGGGCATTTGCAGACACCGGTCATCTTCAACCACCATGCCCCCATCGAAGTCAATTCGAGCACAATTGAGCACGTCGACCTCAACCCCGTCAACTCGACCAAGCAGGCCATCGCCAAGGAAGAGAGGATACTCATCTTGACGCCGTTGAAAGATGCCGCGCCCTATCTGTCAAAATATTTCGAGCTCCTCGCGGAACTGACATATCCCCATCGGCTGATTGACCTGGCGTTCCTTGTGTCAGATTCTACAGACGACACCCTCGCCGTTCTTGCTTCCGAACTCGACCGCATCCAGAAGCGACCCGATCAGATTCCCTTTCACAGCGCAACGGTCATTGAGAAAGATTTTAACTTCAAACTCAGCCAAAACGTTGAAGAGAGACACTCATTTGAGGCTCAAGGCCCCCGACGGAAAGCCATGGGCAGGGCCAGGAACTACCTTCTCTACACTGCTCTGAAAGCCGAACACTCTTGGGTCTACTGGCGTGATGTAGACATTGTGGACAGCCCTACAGGAATTTTGGAGGACTTTATTGCTCACGACCGAGATATTCTGGTTCCAAGTAAGGAATAAGATCTGATGAAAGACGAAAGACTGTTGCTAATCTCCGATGCCAAGACATTTGGTTCCACCGCTACCGCGACGGTGTGGATATTGAGGGCCGATGTAAGTGATATCCAACCATGGAGAGAACATATGCAAGTGCGGTCGCTTACCGAACAAATAGTCGATTATAACTCCTGGGTCGAGTCTGATCAGGGTCGCAAGCTGGCGAATAGCCTAGACAAGGATGTCGTTCTCGCCGAAGGTACGCAGTCCCTTATAAGACGTCTGATTGAATAGTGCTTACCAGAACGGCAGGCTATAAGCAATATGACACTGGCAGAACCTACATGGCGAGAATGGGCGACTGGCGCGAGAACAAAGATGTGGAGCTGGAGCTCGATGGCATTGGCGGTGTCAATATTCTTGTCAAGGCAGACGTGCACCGCTCCGGTATGCCCATAAGTACTTCCCTGTTGATGAAGCAGGCAACAGCTAACAAACTCGATTCTCTAGGCATCAACTTTCCCTGCTACGCTTTCGAGAATCAAGCCGAAACCGAAGGATTCGCCAAAATGGCCAAGCGTGCTGGCTACGAAGTATATGGTCTCCCCAATTACGTTGTCTGGCATATCGACACCGAAGAAAAGGGCGGCAATGCATAAACTCGACACGCAATCCTGAAGAACTAATTTTCGCTTCACGTGTCCCATATTCTGCAATAATTCGGATTGTTATATTGGCAACATGAGCCAATACTTGTACGAAGACTAATGATGTTACACTTCTCGCGGACCGGTTCACGTTTTAGATACGACCAGCCTTGATATTGATATGGGATATGTCGAAAACCGGATGGCGGTGGGCGCGTTCTGTTGCATTCATTCTGCCGGCGCAGATTGTCATGCCAGTTCGCACTCTTAATAATGATGGTATTTGTCTGGGAAGGCTTGCGCATGTTTGGGTCGAGCCTGGAAAGCGAATCGGCGAGTATAGCTTTTCCGCTGTGGTACTAGATTCTGGCTACTTGCGCTGCGTATATTGGAGCTACTGGAATGGAGATTGCTACTTGTGTAAAGGCGGGAGCAAATGGCAAGGCAGGCTGGAACAGTTTTTGTATGTTTGTGTTTTTGGGAGTTTAGAGTAGGCATGGCATATCATTCACACGGCCGACAGGCTTTTGAATTTCTCCTCCAAGACTTGAGTACAAAACATACCTTGGGCGTGGGATGGCCCTTTTTTTTTTTTTTTTTTTTTTTTTGTGGCGCAACATGCTTTTGTCGTGAACCTTTATTCCTCATCGATTAAAATATCTTGGGTATATTCTCTGGGAGAGCAAGTCATATTCGCGTAACATGACTAACAAAAAGCAGCCTGTGCCTTCCATTGACATCCATTAGAATCCCCCTGTGATGGTCAGTGTTTCAGGCCTCCCTGTATTTTGGCTGCTATCTGCCAGGGTCACTCGTTCTAACGGTCTGGTCAGCCGACCAACGCCCGGCCTGTACTTGTAAGGTACTAGCAGCAGGTACGGAGTTACTTCGCACTTCGCCGAGATAAGGAGCACGCCAGCACATGACGCGCGGGAGAGTCTCGGCTAAACCCTCCGGCTCGGTGGTTGGGTGCCGTCATAGCAGCACACGTACAACCTGGACGAGTGCATCCCATCAGCCGCCTGCGACTGGCTGCGCATCCCGACGATTCTTGCGGCGCTGCGTGCATAACAACTCCCACGAGGTGCGTTATCCTGGGCCAACCGAGGCTGGGATTGCTGCCTAGTCGCTGTTGCGCCTCTCTTGCTAACCTGGACCACGACGACTCTAGGCCGACCCCCACCATCAAGAGCCTGCTGCTTCGGTTGCGGCATCACACCGTCATTCTCGCTCCTTGGAACCACCCTCATCGAGTCCATCGAATCTACTTAATCGCTTCATCTCTCTCCCGCGCCAGGATCTCGCAGTTCATCTTCATTCGCAAACATGTGGGGCTGGTTTGGAGGCGGCGCCGCCTCTCAGAAGAAGAAGGATTCGGCCAAGAATGCCATCCTCGCCTTGCGGTCGCAGCTTGACATGCTGCAGAAACGAGAGCGGCACATCCAGAACCAGATAGAGGAGCAGGAAGCAATCGCCAGGAAGAATGTCAACACAAACAAGACAGGTATGTATATGAAAAACTGCGAGACATTCGGATGCAGCGGGGTAGTAGTGTTGACAGGATGGAAACAGTGGCCAAGGGCGCCCTGCGGCGCAAGAAGATGGCAGAGGGCACGCTAGATAAGACGATTGCGCAGATCACAACGCTCGAACAACAGATCAACGCCATGGAGTCAGCGAATATCAACCGCGAAACCTTGGCAGTGTTGGAGAAATCATCAGCAGCCATCAAGGATATCCACCAAGGCTTGACACCGGAGAAGGTGGATGCCATCATGTACGTGGCCTTGCTACCCTCTTTCGTATTTCGATATCAGCGCTCCCTTGGAAACGATGTACTGACAAGGATACAGGGATAAAATTAATGAACAGAATGCGCTCAGCGAAGAAATTGTCAACGTAATTACAACCAACACGATTGGCGAGGGGGTTGACGATGACGAGCTGGAGAGAGAGTTGGCGGATCTGCAACAGGAGCAGGTTGATGAGCAAATGTTGAGCACAGGCAACGTGCCTCTGACAGATGCAGTCCACAAGTTGCCCACGCCATCGCATGCAGAGCGTAAGTATACCTGTCCGAGCTTGCAAAGACAGCGCTGACATTCCCAAAGCCGTATCTAGCAAGAAGGTGGCCATCGAGGAGGATGACGAGGAAGCCGAGCTTCGGAAATTGCAGGCCGAGATGGCCATGTGAGCTCTCTGCTAATTACATGCACGCAGAACTCTCACAGTACGGGCATTCCGCAGCTAGAATTGACGATGTGTTGATTTACTGTGAATACGGCCACTTCGCTTTATCCCAAGTGCGATGAGCAAATTTGTCGTCTAATCCACACAGATCTCATTCACTGGGGTTTTTTTTTTCTTCATCTCCCTTTCAACCCAACTTGTGTTTCCCAGGCGTTGGCGTTTTTGAGGGTATGTTTTTTCTCCCTCTGGTGGTGGGCAGTCCCGAGACAAGTGAAGCGAAATATCCTTTGAGGCCGCGCAAGGCTCATTACGGGGATGACATCTCAAGGCTTTCTTGTACAAGGGGAGGTGTTACCCCCAGGTAGTTGAAGTTTTCCCGAGTTGTTTTGGTAGAGAATTAGAAGTCAGCCCAAGGATGGAATCTAAAGAGAATAATATTCTGTTATCTACTACAAGACATGCTCCGCCTTTGATGGAGTCAAACGCCTCTACGATTAACATTTATCATACATCTAGCATATTGACATTTCGGTTAAGATCAAGTCATCTTAGAAAAGGGGAAATAGTAGATTTCATTTGGCGCCGATGTACCCCGTATCTGCGGAATCACATAAGCATGGCGGTTACATATGGCGAGGTGATGCAGATTGATCTGAATAGGCAGCCGGCCCGATAGTCCTCGCGGGTTAGGCACTTGCGAGAAACATTAAAGCGGAAATGATGACCTTGAGGGCTGAGTTGGCAGGATTCAGCTGGAGATTGCCGCTATTTCGATGTCTCCGTTCTCGATGGCCACGACTAACAGCGAAATGTGTACCTGTCTTGGTATGTGCTGAGTTATGACGTACTTGGAGTACCTTAAAGTTATGACCATGCTAGACTGCTAAGTCCTAGTCAGAGACAGAAAAGACGAGGATTCTTCTCTTGGTGAAAAAGATGCAGCAGTCGGCAATGTTGAAACAACACCAGACAGCGTTGTTGTTCGGTGATTGGACCAGCAGCAACGATACAATTCCGCCCTCGAAGAGCATCACCAAGTCAAGCCGCTGATTGGGCTGGATCCGATGCGCCGCACGTGACTCTCCGCCCCCGGGAATCCCCAAGCGCCAACCAAGCCCGGCGCGCTTGCATAGGCGCCAACCATCAGCCATCCTTGCATCTGCCAGTCTATTGGACGACAAGGGCTGAATATGCAGTCAAGCGCCCGGCAGCAGATGCATCGTGAGCTGGAGATTGCGCGTTGACAGTGGGCGATGAGCAAAAGAAGGTTGTTTCCCGCTGACGAGAAACAGAAATCGGAAATGGAGAAGCAGCGAAAAAAGAGGGCGCGGGACATGGGTTTGTTGGACGTGCAGGACGACGGGCGGCTGTGATGGCGGTTTGATTTGCTTTGCTTTTTTCCAGCGGATCGCGGGCCAAGATGCAGCTTTTTTGAGCAGGGAAGACGATTATTGCTTTTGGGGCGGTGGCTGCTTTTTGGTTTGACCGGCGCGTGTTTCTTAGTTCATGGAGATGGTAGTTCTATCATGGACTCCCTCCCCCCGAAATTTGTTTTGTCCTTCTTTTCTTCCCCGGTAGATCTCTCTCTTTCGTTCTACCAACAACTCTATTTTCTTTTTCTTTTCTTTTTGTTATCCGTCTCCTTTGTTTTTCTTTGCTCTCGTCTCCGGTTTTCGTTTCAGTTCGGTTTCCTTTTTGTACGACATACCTGTTTTAGAGCGAGAAACACACCTTCGTTATATTTCTTCTATACTTCTTTCACTGTGTCGAGTCATGCTGAGATGCTGGTCGTCTCTTTCATAATACCGGGTCTTTATTTAGGTCAGTTCCACCGGATTTATGAGGACGATACTATTTGCCACAATGTGGTCGTCGAGTACCCGGACACGGAGAAGTTCAACGATGGGGTGTGCTCTGTGTTACTACAAGTCGATCACTATGGAAGACGCCACGACCATAGTCCACACACACGTGTCTCGTTCTGATGCTAATTCATGCTTGACTCCAATAGATGTTTTCTGATAGAATGTCTAGAAGGCTTCCTTCTTATATGCTACTGCTATTAATTACACTCATTTACACCGTGACAGCAGCGCCCCTGAATTCATCGGGAGACATTGATTCCTTCATTCCGAGCTGTGCGGCTCAGTGCTTCAACTCATTCCTTAATATCAGCTATGCAGACCGCCCAGCGAGAACATTGGCGGCGCTTTGCCCACGCATCGGAGCATATGGATTCACAATCGGAGAGGCGGCTGTTCAGTGTCTTGCTGTTGAGAGGGCGGCAGGCGCTTGTTCTAAGCAGGTTGCAAGTGGTAGGCTAGGAATCGCCGAGAAGGGATGAGATTTCAAGGCTAACAGATGAATAGACGCGGTGATTGACAAAGCCTTTTTCATGTGTTATGGCCAGCTTGGTGCCGTCCAGCCTACTCACTCTGTCATCACAGCCACCTTAGCTGTGCCGCTGTTTGGCACGGGACCAATTACATTCCCACCGGAGACAAAGACGAGTCACAGGACTGGGATCCCTACAGCAATTCCAAGCCAGACACTACCGTCTTCCCTCTCTCTTCCAACGACTCTCGTTACAGATCCCACGTCGTTCTCTAGCTCAAGACCTTCCAGGACTAGATCCACGAATGGACTTACTACTAAGGCTACGACTAAACCATCGTCGACTTCACCCAAGTCATCGATGACTTCTCCTGCCGAGATCCTTACGACCGATCCTGTGGCTCCAACATTCACCGAGACCAGCACGTCTGCAACTGAGACCAGTACTACCACGAATGTTCCCGATGGAGTACTTGGTGGACAAGGGGAAAAGAAGGCATCAGCGTCCCTCAGCACAGGACAAGTAGCTGGAATTGCGATTGGATGTATCGTTGGTGTAGGATTCATTGGATTTGGCATCGCGGTTTTCTGCCGATGCCTTCGCAAGAGGAGGTCTCGATTCGGGAGAAAGATGAGAAAAGGAGGACGACCCCTGAGGGACTCGTGGAATTCTAATGCAGAAAAGGGTCCTCATGGTGGTGGAGGCACAGACTCTTGGATCGCGAACCAACTTCGAGCGCCCCTCGATCCAGGCCCCATGCCCGGTCCGACAAAGTCGTGGTATAATAGAGCGAGCTGGAGGCCTAGTGCAATTGGGTTGGCAATATCGCCTGCCAACACAAGAGACGTAACTCGCGCAACGACACCGACTTCTGCGAGACCCTTATCCAAGCTGCTTCCAGCCAAACCCGTTATGAATCAGGGACCCCCAAGATTAGAGGTATCACTGCCTAGTCGAGATGGAGACTCTCATTTCGGTGCTGCAGCAATAATGGGAGCAGCAGCAGCCGGTGCGGCATCAGGGGCGATAATGAGCGGAGCAATCGCTGGGTCCTCATCGCCGAAGCCTGCGGCTCAACCCAAGTCGCAACCTTTCCCGAAGCCCATGATACGACCTGCAATGCGTCAGCCAGCAATGCCCGAGCCATCTGTTCGACCGCGGAATCTTACCCCTCCAGGCAAGCCTCAGTCGCCTTCGCCGTTGAAGCTCATCATCCCCAAGACAGGGAACCTTAAGCCGTTTGTCCCTGTCGTTACCAGACATGATAGCTCAATTACCAGACACGATAGCTCAACCACGGAGTTTGAAGAAGATGGCAGGTCGTCGCTTTCACCAGGCGGCCAGATTTGGAGGCCACCTTCGGCTGACCCGCACAAGGCGGCCCCTTACTATGTTGCGGACAGGAGTGGTAACTGGAGGCTTGGCGACCCGGCACGAGCTCAAGAGATTGCAGAGCTTGAGGCATCCATCAGCCCATTGACCGCCGCGCCCAAGTCTGCGGCGCCCAAATTGGTCGCTGGCCTGGGTCTGGCTACTGGTGCTGCTGGTGCTTTGGCACTTGTAAAAGCTGCAAGCCAGCGAAGGGATAACAGAGCAGGCGAGGCATCCAAGGCTGCTGAAGAAAGCAGACAGGGTGCTCTGGGCATCACCATGTCACCCGAGCAGACTATCAGAGCCGTCGAGCCCTCGCTGTCTTCAGACGAAGAGATCCAGGAGCAGGACCTGCAGCCATATGCCCCACGACCCCTTTTCTCCAATAATGGTAATAGCAGCAACTATCCCCGCCGTTCGTTAACCAACCGCCGGTCTTCGACGCGATCATTGACTCGTCCACGAATCACGTCTACTGATAGTGGCATAACGACTATCTCGACCTCTACGGATGACACTGATCTGAGATCCCCTCCTCCGTTGGAGCAGCCAAGTAATCTGTCGCCCGTCGTTGAATCCCCGCGATCTCTACGGCCCAGAAGGGGTCAGTCACCAACTCAGTACCCCAAGATTCCAGCTAGCCTGGGTGCCGCACTGCCTTACTCAGGGAACTTGAACTCTGATGCGGCTGCTACTAAGAGCGTAGCTGTTGCCACGGGATATGCTAAGCCTACTGCCATGGGTGATCGTCCTGCACAGCCAAGCCCGAGCTTTGGAGCACCACTTGCTGCCGGCACCATGTCTTCGGCGGATGGAAACATGCCAAAGAACCAAGGGAAGAAGTTTATGGGCCCTCGCGCTATGGAATCTCCTGGCGCCATCAGAACCGGCTCCCCTATGATGCGAGGAGAAGGTTCGGCGTTTAAGCCGGACGAGAGATACTACCAGGGCCCGCGCAATCAAGCACCGCAGCAAGCCGGTTCAGCATCTCAACCAGGCTCTTCTTCACGGCCTTATCCCCCTCAGCAACAGCAACAGCAACAGCAGCAGTATCCTGCGCAAACCCACCAAAGGCGGCCGTCCAACAACAGCTCCATCCCCTATCGCCTCCCTCCCCACCCAACCGCCTACAGGCCCAACATCGACTCTTCCGGCTACCCATATCAAACTCGCCTCCCAGAGTACAACAACCAGGGCCCTTCAACATACAATCTTCCCCATCCTCCCCAGCAAAATAGATACCCGCATCACCACCCGCGCAACCATCAGCCTCCCTTTGTCCAGCAGCCCGCCGCCCGGCCCGTTTCGCAGCATCTACAGCAGCTTCAGCAGATACAGCAAAGGCAGCAACAGCCAAGCCAGCGACCTCAACAGCCTCAGCCTCAACCTCAACAACAGCAACAAAGGAGACCACAGCAGCAAAACCTCCACCTCCAACCCCTCGCCCCATCATACTACCCAGACGCCCTCCCTCCAACCGCCCCCCTCACGGGTAACTCCGTAGCAACAACCACAAGCGCCCACTCCGCCGACTCCCAGGCCTCGTCCCTCCTCGCCAAACGCCTCGGCACCTCCCGCGCCGCCAATATGGCCATCCCCGTGCCCCCTCCCAGCGGCACCTCTTCCTCCGCCCAGAGCAAGTGGCTCCGCCAGGGCGCCGACCTCTCATCGCCGAGGATGCCGCCGCCGCCTCAGGAACCCACTGAATTGCCTGCGACGCCGGTGTGGAAGCCTCGGCTGACTCCTACCAGACGTGGAGATGACTTGTTTTTGATTGCTCAGTGAGCGATGTTTCTGCCCCTTGAATGTTGTATGATGTGTGCGGATGGAAGAGGAGATCTCCTGTTTGGATATATAAAAAGGAGAGATGGTGACGACTGGGCTCATGATGATGTTTTCTGTTTTCTCTATTTTCCTTTCTGTTATCTGACAATTACCCCCCCTGTTATGCTTATTATGACGTCTGATTAAAAAAGTACACGTCTGTTACTTTTGGCTAATATTTCCTTTCTACACATCCAGCATCATGTACATTAAAAATTACAGCGCAGGAGGACTAGACACGTCAACTATAGCGACATATAGTGTCACATAGCCGTTTTTATTTGTTTTGGTTAAAGAAGGAGCAATGCGCAAATGTATATTACGAGCGGTTATCTTAGGTATTTCATGTTTCAAACATCTTTGCCTCCTCACTTGTGCTTTCCAACCAATCCCGTCGCTACCAACAAAAACTCAACGGTTCCTTCGATGATCATCCAAGCCCTCATTCTCCTCTGTAACCGTCTGACTCATGACGCATTCTCTCTCGACGAAGCGTTTCAGGGATGGCCTTGACCCAGATGCCTGATTTCCCAAGTTTGTCATCTCAATGTCCCGTGCCGAATCGCTGGTCTCATCCGAAGGGCGCAGACGCCTTGAGTTCCTCTTCTTTACGCTCCCTAGACCGAAAAAGTCCTCCACATCACTCTGGATATCGCTTAGTTTGTCATCCAGCGCCTCCAGCCCCTGATTCCACGCGGCTTGATTCAGATGGGCATTTTCGTCAACCAGCTTATTCTTCTTGCGGATCTCTTGCCACCGCGATTTGCTTCCAAGTTCAAAGACATTCATTCTTCTTAGTTTGCCAATGGGGTTTCCAAGCATAGCAGGTCGCCATGCCTTTTCTTCCTCTATCACGGCCTGGTGATCATCAGGCATAGAGGCACGCCGTATGGTTGATCTCCGACGAGCCTCGATCAACCGATCCATTTCCGCCATCTTGGAATTTGGTACGATTTGAACATTTGTAAACCGAGCTAAGATTAACAGCAGCATGATGGTGAGTATGAACAGGATACCCGCCACGACTCCGGTAGCTACTTGCTGACCTAGTGTCCTGGTGACCAGACCGCCAAGGGCACTGGCACCCGCAGCAAAGATGAATGCCAGAGTATGAATGGCTGCAAAGCCAGCAGTCACTCTCGGGAATGAAGAGTAGTTTGTTCGTTTTTCAGCCTTGCCTGACTTGCTGCGTTGACGCCCTGTCATTCCGGGTGAAAGATCAGAAGTGTCAAAACACTCCATCACTAGGCCATTGCATTCTGCAATAGCGAGGCATGACAACAGTCCTATGCAAAATGCAAAAATCGTTGGTACACCAATATGCATTGGTGGTCCGGATGATACTGAGGCATAGCAGACTCCTCCCAACGGCAGCATAATAGTAAAGATAGTACGCCGAACAAGATGAGATGACCACGCAATCTTTCTTTCCATCGTTGCTTTGTTTGAGTCGAG